TCTGTAGTCTTCTAGATGCTCAAATCCATACACCTCTGGATTCAGCCAGCATAGCCAAAATATCCCATCTTTCTTGATTGAAATAGAAACACAACAATAGAGTCCACAGATACAAAGAACAAACATATGAGTGGGAGTGTATAACCTCTTTTATGTAAGCCATTTTTATTCTTTCCAAACAAATATTGGAAAGAAATTATGTAAAGTGGCATGAACAGGTAAGTTGCACTCTGAAATTTGCATGAAGTTGTTGGGAGATAAAATAAGGATGGGAACATGTTTGTTCCTCTTCATTCTTTGGGTAAGAATGATCCAAGAACAGACACAGGGACACAAAGAATTCCGATTTCACTTCTAGTTTGGTCTTTGCTTGTAATCTTTTGATTCAGAATGGACAGAGAAAGGCAAACAAGACAAGTAAGGGCATTCTGTTAGTAGCCTCCACCCAAAATTAGCTGAAATTGGAAAACTGTGCCTGGTTTATTCATTGAAACATTGCCAAGGAAAATAAAACTAAATTTCAAGAGAAAACTGGCAGCTACTGATTCCTTTCCACTAATGATTGTTCAATTGTGAAGGGACACAGGGCAGACAACATCCTGCAGAAAGCACAACTCCACAACACAGTCCTTTCAGCAGTTCCAAGAAGGCTTCACACCCATTTGCACTACTCAGGTGACCCTGACCTGATGACACAGATAAACCTCCAGGTGGCCTCAAGGACTCTCTAAAAGGATGCCAATGACCAGCTGTCTGCAAGGAGTATAAATCCTTCCATTCCTCACCATCCAGTCAGAGCTGAAGAAGCTTCTTGAATGGGAAGTGAAACGTCTTCAAGGAAAAAACAAGGAAGTCGAGTTGTCCTCCCGAAAAAAGCACCTTTGGGACAGGGGTGAAATGCTCCCATTTCGGACCGGATCGCCTGATCTGGTAGCGATGGAGGCGGGTGGTTTGGAGAACCGGTAGCAAAAATCCCTGCCCCCCACCCATGCCCAGCTGAGCTGCACAATCATCAGAGGCTTTTTTTTTAACTTTTAAAAGCATTTTTTCTACAACCTCTTCGGCCGAAAAAATGCTTTTAAAAGTTAAAAAAAAAAGCCTCTGATGATCACGCGGCTCAGCTGGGATCATCAAAGGCTTTTAAAAGAAAAAAAACCCTTTTTTTCTTTTAAATGCCTCTGACGATCCAAGCTGAGTTGCCTGATCGGCAGAGACTTTTTTTTCTTTTAAATGCCTCTAACGATCAGGCAACTCAGCTGGGATCGTCAGAGCCTTTTGAAAGCATTTTTTTACAACTTCTTTGCCGAAGAGGTTGTAGAAAAAATGCTTTTAAATGTTAAAAAAAAATGGCCATGCCCACCCAGTCACATTACCCCACCACCACCAAGCCACGCCCACAGAACCGCTAGTAACAAATTTTAGATTTCACCACTGCTTTGGGACAACCATGACCTGGATGACTGAGAATCTCCACAGAAATTCTCTTCCAGATCTTTTCTTTTAATTTGTTGAAAATATAAATGTAAAGCTTCTTGTGGCAGGTTTAACTGAGCAAGAGAATGAGAGCAAGTTCATGCATGCATGTGACTGGCTCAGAGCACACATCAAATGCATGCCGAAATAAACTTTGGTCTCATCTACTTCTTATCCCAATGCCCTATATACTTCATTTGCTGAATGATGCTCTGGAAACACCCATTGTCCCTCCCCCCAATCCACTTAACAGAACATGATAAAAGACTTTTTCAAAAATAATTGTTCACTAGTTTAGAAAAACACAATGGCAGCTACTTTAAGAAGGAAAACATTAAACATGCTGGTTAGGAAGAATATGAGCAGTATAAATCAAAATTTTACCCCCCCTCCAAATTATATTTCAAACGTTTCCAACAAGAATTGGAGAAAATACATTAGAGTGACAGAGACAAAAAATCAGTTGCATTGGTCAAACAAAAGACCAAGGATTAAATTTAGGATTTTGCAAGATATGAAAGAACAAGGTGGACTGGCAATACCCAAATTTCAATTGATGCTATCAAACCTGTTATTTAACAAGGATTATGGACTGAGTTGTATTACCCAGTAATTGGTTTCTTCAGATGAAGGAACAGGATACCCAGAAGGTTTTTATATAATATAAATAATAGAAGTGTACAGTATATAAGAGAATACTTCATTATAAACTACGTCTTAAAAGTAAACACGAAAGAATAATAAATCTGAACATAAAGCTACTTGCTTCAACATTAACATTTTATCTTGAAGATGAGTGTACAAAAAAAAATCAGTAGAAGATAATTCATGTAAGTTGTAAGTTTTAATCTTTAACAAAATAAAGATAAGCTCTTCTCAAAACTTTATCCCTGCAGTATCAGAACCATCTCACTGGTTTCAGTAAGTAGCACATTCCACCAAGATTTATGAAACCAAGGCGGAATATTCAAATTTCAAAAGTTTACAGCACAGAATTCAGAATACTTATTGAGGCTTATTTACATGTTGTTATTAAAATAACCTACTGAGATTGAGCAAATCCAAGACTAAATGGAGGCAGAATGTACACGGGAAAGTTGATATGATCAACAGGAATGCCAATTACAGATGAATATTATATTTTTGAAATATATTGAAAAAAATGATATAAAATACTTTATTGGTGATATATTCTCTCAAAATTCATTCTCTCAAAATTGCTGAAAGTACAATAATCAGGTTATACCATTTTTTCATACTTGCTGGCAATGTTATAATGTTCAACAATTCTGGAATATGATTTAGTACCAGATTAAACAAAATTTACATTTTCTTCTTGTCAGCTCTAGAGTTTTTGTTAAATTTTCATTATTAAATGAAATATCCAACAAAGTATATAGAATTGGGTTTTTATATGGTAACTTGTAGTGGAAATCACACATAACTTGTAGTGGAAATCACACATAATTTCATTTTTTTAGATGAACAGCAGAATAAGTTGTAAGGCATTTTGTAGAATATTGATCTCCAAAATAAATTTGTATTTAAAAAACACAGAATTTGATAGTTCTGCACATGGACTTGTTCTGTATCTGAAATTTGAGTTTCTCTTAACACAAGGTTTTTTAAAAAAATGATCTTGCTAGTTTTGCTGAAACAAGGATCAATTCTCTCGCACATGATGGAAAATTTTATTAATTGTTTGTTTTTATGATGACTTTAATATATTGGCTACTTTTATTAATTATTGATCACTGGTCTTACTTCAATAAGATCACCTTAAGTGCATTATTAATGTAAAGTTACCTTGTCAATTCTTCCTCAATTCCACATATTACATATCTCTGTTTTCTTCCTCTCTCCCCGATTTCATTTCCCCTCTTTTTTCTAGGTAGTGCTTTTATGTATCTGTAAATAAAATAAAATAAAATTCCAGGGACATGATATCAATATTCTTTAAATGCCTGCCCTTGTTCCCTATTCCAGGGGTCTCCAGCCTTGGCAACTTTAAGCCTGGCGGACTTCAACTCCCAGAATTCAAAAGCAAAGTTGGCTGGGAAATTCTGGGAGTTGAAGTCAGCCAGGCTTAAAGTTGCCAAGGTTGGAGACCCCTGCCCTATTCCATGTTACCAGAAGAGCAGTAGGGCCAAGGACACACTTTCTGTTAACAAGGACATTAAAAAGAAAGGGCAATTGGAAATGGAGCAAAACAGTTCCATTGGTGGTTTCACAATATGTTGTTAAATTCTGAAAGCCCAGAGAAAAAATATTTTTTCCAGAGGACAAGTAAGTCCTTGACTTATGATCATAATGCAGCCTGCTCATTACAAGTTGCATGGTGTGACAGCTGTAAAGCAAGTCATCACATGACCAACATGATTTTACAACCCTTTCTTTTGCAGCAGGTGTTAAGCAAATCATCATGGTTGTTAAGTGAATCCAGAATCATTAAGCAAGGACCATGGTCATTAAGCAAGCACAATTGTTTCCTATGGGGCATTTTTGCTGAAAACCAAAAGTAAAGTCCGTTTTTCTGCAAAAACATTGTAAATCAGAGTCATATCATTGCAGGATGCTACAAACAGTTGTTTACGCAGGCTGGGTAGCAGCCATTGGAACTTACCGTATTTTTCGGAGTATAAGATGCAACTTAGTTTTTGGGGAGGAAAATAGGGGAAAAAATCTGCCTACCTTGTTTTCATCTGGCTAGCGTCCTTGGTCTGGTCAGCTTCAGCACATTAGTTTGCTGGTTTTTATCCCCTGCTTGGGGATAAAAAACAGCTTCTAAAGCACAACTGATTTTTGGAGAAAGAAGCAATGAGAAAAGCAGACAAAGCACGGAGATCGTTTTACTCGCTAGCGCCTCATTAGGGCTGAAAAAAAGCTTCACTGCTGAGAGTTGGAGGGAGCAGGCAAAGCAGGGAAGATCATTTCACTGAAAAAAAGCTTAGCACGGAGATCATTTCACTTGCTAGCGCCTCTTTAGGGCTGAAAAAAAGCTTCGAAAAAGCTACATTCGGAGTACAAGACGCACCCAAATTTTCAGCCTCTTTTAGGAGGGAAAAAAGTGCATCTTATACTCCGAAAAATACGATAAGTGCTTTTGCTATAGTGCTATTGCTATAAATATATACCAGTTGCCAAAAGTCCAACTTTTGATCACGTGGCCCTAGGGATGCTGTGATGGTCGTAAGTATGAAAAGTGACTTTGAATGGTCACTTACCATTACAATGGTTGTAAGTCGAGGGCTACTTGTATATATTGTTTTGCTTTCTTGCATTATTTCTCTTTTTTCATGTGTACTATCTTTTATTGTTCTATTCAAAACTTTTAGTAAAATTATATTTTTTAAAACCCTTTTGATTTTTTTTTCAAGGTGCCAGAGCGATGAAAAGAAGAGCTAACCAAGTGCCAAAAGGCAGTTTCCAGAGATTCCAGATGTGGGAGGGAGAATTAGTTTATCCTAACACCTCCACATGAGCAAGGCAGCTTTTAAAGCCTCTTCCATCCCGCTTCAAAATGCAGATCAGCCAACAATTGCACAGAAGCACCAAGAGTGGATGGACACTCATCATACTTACTCATCTCAGGTAAGACTCTATGGAAAAAACAGGGATGTTTCCAGTTAGTTTCCAAGTGTCTGTTTCTGCCCATTGTTTACAATCCTATACAAATATTGCTGGAAGGAAGTACCATGAAAGCTGACAGAGTTTCTATATGTTGTCATAACTCAGATTTGTAAATTCAAAAAAGGAAAGGCTAAATAACCTGTTAAGACAAAGTAAATGTTATTTACTTACAGTGTATGAATAACATGAACCAACCCAAGGGACAGCTCTTCCTCATTAGTTTACTTTATCTGCAAGCTTTTGATATTTTTTTGGTATCTTTTTTAAGGAAAAAGAAAGAATTTTTAATGTATTTGAATATTAGTTAAAAAAAGAAAGACTTTTTACAAGAAAAATTGTAAAAGCTAACTTAGTTGGAATATGTATGTTAAACAGATATTTGTGTGTGTGTGTGTGTGTGTGTGTATAACCAAAGACCTACATATATATATATATATATATATATATATATATATATATATATATATATATATATATATATATATATATACATACATACATACATACATACATACATACATACATACATACATACATACATGTGTGTTTTTCTTTTAGCCAGGTTTTTCCTACGTAACCTGTCTGCCAGAAGAAAAAAGCCCAGAATCGAGTGGATGAGATTCCACTGAGCTAGGGCTGTAGAAAAATCTTGGTTACGTAGGAAAACCTGGCTAAAAGAAAAACACACATAAAACCTACGAAGAGTAAGAAAATAGATATATATATACATATATATTGTCGTGAATGTGACTGCTTGAGGGCTCTTGGATTAGAGCTGAAAGGCGAAAGGGATGCAGTATGCTCCCTCCCACATGCTGGGGTAGACCAGGTGCCTCAATAGAAAAACAATCTCTCCCCTGGCTCAAGGTGATGAAGGAAGGAGAACTTGTGGCTCAGAGGTTAATACAACTGCCTAACATGCAGGCAGCCCAAGTTCGAATCCAAGTAAGGGTATGGCTAGCTGATAAGAGCTAAATCCTAACCCTTAAAATTGCTAGAAGGTAAAATGTGCATCTGCATTGGTGATAAAACAGACACAAACCAAACTATACTACTATGCACAGAGAACTAGTGTGGTTTTCCCTTAACTTCCATAAATCTGACCCTGGAGAGAAAACACTTTGAACAGAAAATGGTAGTGAGCAAATAGATGCTGTCTTTGGAGTCATCTGATTTTCAGAGGTTGCAAGAAATACAGGGCAGGATGGAAGGAAGGGAAAGAAAGGCTTGTTTCTGTTCCTCACCTTTAAATGCTATTTTTTAAAAAATAGTCTCCCAGTTACAAATGGTAGAGTGAATTATTGGAGGCCAGTTCATAGAGTCGTCTGCCAACTTCCCCAGACTCAGAGATGTAGGTGGAGGTGGGGGATAGAACTGAGGATCTGAGAAAGTCTTGGTTGCAAAGCTTCTCCTGGTCAATTCCACAGTTGCAAAACTCCTTCTCCTTAGCACAGGGTTGTCAAACTTGATTTCATTGAGGGCCACATCAGGGTTGTGTTTGACCTCGAGGGCCAGGGTGGGCATGGCCAGTTCGATGTCACTCATGTTGGGGGCACCTGTGGTGGCCAAGTGCTAAGGCAGGACTTCCCTAAGACCCTTCCTCACTCTCATTATAATCTCCTTCCTTCCTTCCTTCCTTCCTTCCTTCCTTCCTTCCTTCCTTCCTTCCTTCCTTCCTTCCTTCCTTCCTTCCTTCCTTTTCTTCTTTTTCCTTCCCTCTTCATTCTCCTTTCTTCTTCTTTCCCCTCTTTCCTTATTTTTCCTTTCTTGCTCTCTTCCCATCTTTTCTTCTTTTTCTTTGTCTCTCCTCTTTCCTTTTCTCCTTTCCTGTCCCTTCTTGCATGCTCAAATGCAAAAGGGGAAACATTGCTCCTTTTGTTTTGTTTTGTTTTGAGTTTGTTTTGCTAGCCCTCTGCCAGAGAAAACGGAGGCATGTGTGGCCCTCCCGAGCTGCGTTTTCACTGGCAGAGGCACGGCGGGCCAGTACTTTGCTGTTTCCAGGGCGGCCCTTAAGCACCCTAGGGGCCCGCGGGCCTTGAGTTTGACACCCCTGCCTTAGCACCTAGCAATAGCATTTAGATTTATATACCGCTTCATAGTGCTCTTACAGCCATCTCTAAGCAGTTTACAGAGTCAGCATATTGCCCCCAACAATCTGGTCCTCATTTTACTGACCTTGGAAGGATGGAAGGCTGAGTCCACCATGAGCTGATGAGGATCAAACCCCTGGAAGTCAGCAGAATTAGCCTGCAATACTGCATTCTAACCACTGTGCTACCACCAATCCTCCTCCTCTTTCTCCTCCTTCTCTCCTCCTCCTCCTCCTCCACCATTAGAAGTACACCAGCCTGGAAGAGAGAATCTTATTTCTTATCCCAAGAACAATTTGATTGCAGCCTGTAATCTTTACTTTATAGAGAATTTCTGTTTGGAAATAGGTTTTCCAGAATTTCAGTCTGGAAATTTGATTTGTATCTGATCACTTCCATGGGCATTTGTTCAGAATGACCAATATAAACAAAGTGGTAAATAGTCATTGAGATAAACTCCCTCATCCTGACTCATCCTGCTCATCCGGAGGATGATCTAGATTGCTAAGGAACTCACAGGTGTGGCGTTTAGCTCCTCTGAGTCATGAATGCAATTTTACGTTGTTGAAAGCTGTTTCAGGATTGTATACTGTGGCTGATATTTATATTTCCCCCGTACTGAATAAATTAATCCATCATTTTTACATTTTCATATGTGTTTGTGTGTTCTTTCCAATTTAAAAAAAGCTTGAAGAAGAGCACACAGTGACTGTAAACCTCATTTCAAAATATTGTCACCTGCCTCCTTTTCATATTCCCAAAATTAACAGAATTAATTTCATGTCCAGGTCACTTGGGGATGATATACTTTCTGGTCATAAGAGCATAAGAAGAACCTTGTGGGATCTATCTAAAGCAGGGGTGTCAAACTCAAGGCCTGGATACGGCCCACAGGGTGCTTAGATCTGGCCCGTGGGGGCATCCTGGAAACAGTGAAAGATTGACCCACAGTGCCTCTGCCAGTGAAAACGGAGCTCAGGAGGGCCTCCGTTTTCATTGGCAGAGGGTTGCAGAAGGCCATCGCAGGTGAAAACGGAGCTCGGGAGCCTGTTTTAGCTGGAAGAGCGCTCGGGCCACCACAGGTGGCCCCGACACGAGTGACGTGGAGCTGGCCATGCCCACCCTGGCCATGCCTACCCCAGCCCCCTGAGGTCAAACTCAACCCTGATGCGGCCCTCAATGAAATTGAGTTTGACACCCCTGATCTAAAGACATATCTAGTTCAGCATTCTGTTTGAGGTGACCAGACATTGGTCTTGTTTCCAAAAAGGCTTATCAAGAGCTATAATGCCCTAGGATTTTAGGTAATCCGTAGCTTCTATAGCCCAAAAACTTTTAAAAGTCTTATCCCCCATAAGTATATCTGATTTCTTTTGAAAACTATCCTGATTGTTTATTTTGTGGATGCAAATTTCACAGGTTATTTGTTCACTCTACAGGGAAGTCATTTCTGTCATTAAAAGGGGCCCTAGTACTTCAAATCCATAAAATTCCTTCTTATATGATCATGTATACATTACTAATAATAAATAGCTTAATCCTTCATGAATGTGCAAACCTTATAGTGAGGTTGTCCATGTTACTGGCCATCCCACTAACTAGGGTATAATTAACTAGACAGTATAATTAAATCCTTGCTCTTATCATCTGAGTCTTTGGTTAACAGAATCTAAAATCTTGAAGCCATGTATATTTATGTCTCGTTTCTTTAGGCAACAAGAGCAATAAAGAAGCACTTTAATTTACAGGCATGGATTGCAACATGGTCAAAATGATCACACATGGTGTGTTAGACATCTTAATTAACTTCTTTATCTCAAAGTACAATCAGCTACCTTCACTGATATTCAGGTTTATTATCTGGTAAGTCTATTTCTTATAAAATACACAACATACTTGGTCAGTTAGATCACAGTTCACGTATTGTGTACTGATCTATAGTGCCCATTTTCTGAAGTCTTGTCCAAAAATAGCTCAGATGACTCGTTGGTGATATAAATGACAAGGTGGGATGAAGTGGTACGGAACTGTTTTATTTTATTTATTTATTTATTTTATTGAATTTCTATACCGCCCTACTCCCGAAGGACTCAGGGCGGTGAACAGCCATGAAATAAAACACATACATATACAAAATTTAAAATCGAATAAAATGAATTAAATAAATTTGGCTGAATTGATACCCATAATTTAAAATACCCATATTTTAAAATACAGTAAAAATTTAAAATTTACACTTAAAAGGGAGAAGATTTAGGCGAGGCCAGCTTGATGAAATAAAAGAGTCTTCAGCTCGCGGCGGAAGGTGCGCAGATTCGGAATCCTCCGTATCTCTGGGGGGAGCTCATTCCAGATCGTCGGTGCCCCCACAGAGAAGGCTCTCCCCCTAGGGGCCGACAGCCGACATTGTTTGGCCGACGGCACCTGGAGGAGCCCCTCTCTGTGGGAGCGTACTGGTCGGTGGGAGGCTATTGATGGTAGTAGGCGGTCCCGTAAGTAACCAGGTCCTAAGCCATGGAGCGCTTTAAAGGTGGTAACCAGAACCTTGAAGCGCACCCGGAAGACCACCGGGAGCCAGTGCAGCTTGCGCAGGAGAGGTGTTACATGGGAGCTCCACGCTGCTCCCATAACCACCCGCGCGGCCGCACTCTGCGCCAGTTGGAGCCTCCGGGTGCACCTCAAGGGCAGCCCCATGTAGAGAGCGTTACAATAGTCCAGACGAGAGGTGACGAGGGCATGAGTGACTGTGCGTAACGAGTCCCTTTTAAAAGGACAGCCCCTCCTTCACCTGTCAACTGGGCTATTTTTTGGACATGGGTCTACCAATCTTCCAGAAGCAGATTCTACCTTCGGAAATAGTCTGGTCTAAAGCATCTCTATACCTGTCATCTGTCACATGAGCCATTTGAAAGGAGGCTAGGTCTCCATCCCAACTATCCATTCACACTCACCCTAGCCTACCTGCTTCTAAGGAGAGCAACTGGGCATGGTTTTTCCCGCAAATACTGGATGGAAGGGGAAGCAATGCCAGGAAATCCCCCAATTAGGGGGAAGGGAGGGAGGGGGGAGAAAGGAAGGAAGGAAGGAAGGAAGGAAAAAAAATCCCTATGGACTGAAGACAAGATCAAGTCAATATCATGATGAAACTTTGGGAGTTCTAGGGTACCTTTATGCTGTTATTGGGCTCATGTGAAGAAAGGTCCTTTGAACTATGTACCAGCAGCCAAATATTTTTTAAAGGAAATGTGAGTACTAGGAAGTCTGATCTTGAATAGCCACAGCTCCCAACATTTCCAGGCACAGAGAATGCGTCAACGCCGTTAGGTAGTCAGGATCAAGACATCAACTGTTCTGGAAGTCTATAACTCCTTTTATTGAGAATGCCTATAATAATAGATTCATATGAGCCTGATTGTACCATACCTCCCTATGAATCAAGGAACTATTTCTGAATGTTATCTTGTTTCTCAGGCCTTAAGAAATGTTTTGCCTAGGTAATTGTCTTGTATCTTTCTATCAAGATCAGCTTCCTTACACTTTATAACCCGGGACTATGAAACTTTTAGTAAATAATCTTAGAATTTTGCCATGTGGGAATGGTACCTACTTTCAGAGTCTTCTCCTCACTGGCACAAACATCTTTGCCAACTTGTGTTCTCTCTCTCACTCTCCCTCCCTCCCTCCCTCCCTCTTTTTTTTTTTTTTACTATGTTTCTCTAATGCAATGATGGCGAATCTTTTCCGCACCGAGTGCCCAAACCGAAATGCACATGCATGTGCGTGCATGCGCATGCCAGGGCACCAGAAACCTGAAGACCAGCTGGCCAGTGGGCGCATGCCTGTTTTTGGGTTGGTTTTGGTTGTTTTTTGGGCCATTTTCAGGCCATTTTGAGGGCATTTTTTGAGCCATTTTCGGGCTGTTTTTGGGCCATTTTGGGGGCATTTTTGGGCCGTTTTTCAGCACTGCCACCCATGAAGACCAGTTCACCACTCTAGCACACATAAAGAAAAATGCCCCCAAAATGGCCCGAAAAATGGCCTGGTTTTTCATTTTCCGGCTCTATGGTACCCGCAAAGACCAGCTGGCTGGCGCGCATGTGCACGCCAGAAACCAAAAAATCAGCTGGTGACGGCGCACATGCCCACAGAGAGGGCTCTGCGTGCCACCTCTGGCACATGTGCCATAGGTTCGCCATCACGGCTCTAATGTCTGGGAACTTCAATCCCAGCTCATGGATGAGATGGTCTTTGGTCATTGTTGGCTATAAGGGAATATTCTCCTTATTTGAAAACTGTCCAAAGGCAGCTTCAAAGATGTGTAAAATGTGTTAGGTTACATCACCCATTATCTTGAAGGAAAGTGAGGGAACTGGCTGTGACTTGGAGCAAAGGCAATAGAGACACAATAATGGTTGGCAACAGAAATCGCCAATATTCATGCTAGTATTGCTTTTAGCTGATTGAGCGGTGCGGTGGCTTAGAGGTAAAGGTGCTCTCCTCACACTCAGGAGGTTGAGACTTCAATCCTAAGAAGATGTTTCTCTATCAGGGCACAAAGAGAAAATATCTGCTGCGAACTCCACATAGGTGTCAGGAAGAGCATCCAGTCAGTAAATTCTCACTTCCATTCAATTACTTTGACTCCACCCCAATAAAAGCTTATAAGGGTCACAAAAATTAAAAAAAAATATTTTAGCGGATTCAAGGGTGGGTGGAGAGCACTTCACCTCAGCTGGAAGGAAAGACACAAAGGTTCGACTCTCTCCTATAATCATTCCCTGATTTACCTTGCTTATCTAACAGGCTTAAGCAGGTAACTCATTGCATTGATGTTTAGGGTTACCTTGTGTGTCTTGTCACTTCCCCCTCTCCGTATTCCCTTTCCACAACCTCACACCATTCTAGAAGCAACTAGCTTACAACAGCTACAACAGCTTTCATAGCCTCTTCCACAAAATCCCCATCAGCCTCCTATACCAGGGGTCTGCAACAATAAACACTCAAAGAGCCATTTGGACCCATTTCCCACAAAAAAGAAAACACCAGGAGCCACACAACCCTGTCCGTGCCTGACTATTTCTTGAGCGGCCACAAAACTAGCATATGTAGTTGAATTAAATGTTCTTTTTTCTTCTGAAACTTTTCTTTTCTTGGATTTATTTATGGTTGGCCTACCGGGGGTTGAAAAGTGCAATAAATCGTGTGCCGGCGGATGTTGCACATTGGCAGTTGTGACACATATTTTGAGTGACAGGGAGCCGCAGCAGAGGGGTGAAAGAGCCACATGCGGCTCCAGAGCCGCAGGTTGCTGACCCCTGTCCTATACTGTTCTCCATTCTTTCAGGACTAAGCGTCTGAGTATGGGTGTGAAGGTGAAGTATCTTGACAGTGAGGGCTACCGGTTCAGATACTTCACGCGAGGGAAGCCTGGATCCCAACCATCTGTGCTGATGCTTCATGGATTCTCCCTCAACAAAGACATGTGGTTAAATACCATTGGAGTAGGTCTTCCTTTTATTCTAGCTTGGATGGTGCTAGTCTGGCCTTGGGTGCTAGAAATCATAGAAGGAACCTCTTGTGTGCTTGCTGGAGCCTTCTTTCTTTTAAAGGAAATGTGCCCATACCATTCCCTGTGTCCCATCTGCCTACAGCCCCCAAGCCTCCTTGCCATTGGGCAGAGTGGGATGGGTGAAAGACCAAAGATAAAGCTGTGGGTGTCTCTGAAGTACAGCCTGCCCCACTTCCTCCAAGTAGGAGAACCATCTCCAGAGTCCCTGGCTAGAATGGGTGATGTCCGTATCTAAAGCTCTACCCAATTCTTCTGCTTCTGTATCTTCTTGGGTGTAGCTGAGAACCAGCCATCTGTCACTATGATAAAGCAGGCTGGGAAATTCAAGATCCTGTGCAAATTGTTGCTCTTATGAGCTTTGGGCTATCAATAGAAGGAGCCTGGTGGTGCAGTGGACTAAACTACTGTTAAAGTAGTATTTAGCTGCCAGCTGCCTGCAATTACTGTGAGTTCAATTCTCACCAGGCTCAAGGTTGACTCAGCCTTCCATCCTTCCGAGGTAGGTAAAATGAGGACCCGGTTTGTGGGGGCAATAAGCTGACTGTATAAAATAGAACACCGCTTAGTGGGGGGGCCAAAAGCCCTACTAAGCAGGTATATATAAAAATATGAAGGCTATTACTTAAAAGCATTGTAAGCTGCCCTGAGTCTCTGGAGAAGGGCAGCATATAAATCAAACTAATAATAATAATAATAATAATAATAATAATAATAATAATAATAATAATAATAATAGTAGTAGTAGTAGTAGTAGTAGTAGTAGTAGTAGTAGTAGTTAGTGGAGCAGTTGGAGCAAGGGAGTGAAACCTAAAGGAGGATCTTCCCAAATATATCAGTGAAGTTTAAGCATGCTCACTGCTTTCCAAAATGCTTCAGTTGATGAGAGGAGTGGAAGAAAAGGAAAAGATGGGGTAGGGTGGGAGTGGCGGATTGGAGAAGAGAACTGGATCTGGTCTGGGACCAAGAATAGCATTTCTTCTCTAGTCCTGCTTTGGGCAGTGTGGAGAACCAGCTATTCTTGCTTTGATTTCTAGGTTTCACATGCAGAACCATTTCCCCCAATAGGTCTTTCCTAAGGACCTCCACTTGATCTGCCTTGATCTGCCAGGTCACGGGGGAACCACTCGCTTGCTCGCAGAAAGTCACACGGCAGTTGCTCAAGCTAAAAGAATACACCAGGTAGAGTATCTCTTGAACTGTGATGTGATACATTGTTCTTTGAATTGGTGAGTGGCAGCAAAGGGGGAAACTGAGGAGGGATGAGACATTGGATATAAACCAAGGTGAGACTTACTGTGCAATGAAAAATATAAAAAGCATCTATTCTTTGTATTAAAAATGTAGAACCTCCTTTGAGTCAAGCATGACTTCATGGGTTTGTCCATTTAATTTCTTGGAGACAAACAGAATTTTGCCCCTGACTTCCATCTTTTTGTTTTTACTTTTTCACTCTGGATCAGGCATTCCTAATGTTAGTCAGATTGAACCTTGCTTAGCTTTCCAAGATGAAACAAGGTTGGTTAGATGTTGCCATCTATATTTTCGTTAAAAGTGCACATAAAGGAAATCCAGTGCTTTATCATCAATCCCTTCCAAAGTCTCACAGATGTGTGAAGTAGCTGTGTATTGTATGATACTTAAATAGTATTCTTTTCATTCCTATTCAATAATTTCTTCTTGGATACAGATTATCCAGCTTTAACCTCAAAACAGTTCAAGGAAAAATAGGTTGTAGCTATGATTTGCCCATGGGTACTTAATGAACTTTAGAGAGTTAAAGAAGTGAACCCAAATCTCTACAGCTAAGTCCAACATGGAAAACATCGCAATTGTGTGTTCCTTATCCCCTTACTAATCTCAATGAATCCTAGTTACTTGGGGTTTACTTAGGATGACTTCAATCTGATGTTGTGTGATTGTTATGACAATCCTAGAAAAATATGCTCAGGTCCATTGTGATTAAAAATTTCCCCAACACTTGATTTGTGCAATATTTTCATATTTGAGCCATGGTGGTACAATGGTAAAATAAGGAACCAGGGTGTTGGGGGGCAATATGCTGACTCTGTAAATTGCTTAGAGAGGGCTGTAAAGCACTGTGAAGTGGTATATAAGTCTAAGTGCTATTGCCATGTTTTGGACTGGGATTGCAAATGGGACATCAACTGTCACGTCCAGTGGTGAAATCTAAAATTTGTTACTACCGGTTCTGTGGGCGTGGCTTGGTGGTGGTGGTGGGGGTAATGTGACTGGGTGGGCATGGCCAATTTTTTTTTTTTTACTTTTAAAACCATTTTTTCCTACAACCTCTTCAGCGAAGAGGTTGTAAAAAAATGCTTTCAAAAGGCTCTGATGATCCCAGCTGAGTTGCCTGATCGGCAGAGACTTTTTTTCTTTTAAATGCCTCTAACGATCAGGCAACTCAGCTTGGATCGTCAGAGGCATTTAAAAGAAAAAAAGTCTCTGCAGATCAGGCAACTCAGCTTGGATCGTCAGAGGCATTTAAAAGAAAAAAAGTGTTTTTTTCTTTTAAAAGCCTTTGATGACCCCAGCTGAGCCACGCGATCATCAGAGGCTTTTTTTTTTTACTTTTAAAAGCATTTTTTCAGCCGAAGAGATTGTAGAAAAAATGCTTTTAAAGTAAAAAAAAAAGCCTCTGATGATTTGTGCAGCTCAGCTGGGCATTGGGGAGGCAGGGATTTTTGCTACCGGTTCTCCGAATCACCCGCCTCCATTGCTACCGGATCAGGCGATCCGGTCCAAACCGGGATCATTTCACCCCTGGTCACGTCCAAGAATCGGTCAGTCTTGTGCACTCTCCTGTAGAGGGAAAGCTTTCAAGTATTCAGTATTCATCTTATATGGTGAGCACCTTAATAAAGAGCTGTAGCAGATGTTCTCAACTTTGCCATTATTACTTTTGTTTCATCTTTATCCCTGTGAGATACATGTTCCATATTTTGGAAACAACAACATTGTTTTATAGGCTTACACCGTATAACCAAATGTATTTACAAAATGCACTTTATTACCACAATTCCTTCTTTAATCAATCTTGTTCTTACTGCTTGATGACATTCTTACTTGTCATGTTAGATGCTGCTGTATCAGCCATATAAACAGTGATCTGCATGGATCACTGAATCCCGAGCAATGTTTCACCCTACCTGGCAGTATGAACTCATCCTGTGTAACTAATTTAGTGGTCATTATATTGTGCAATTAGTTCCAGAAAGAAGGGATTAGGGTGGGGGAGCATCTCATGAAAGAACAACCACAATCTCTTTGTTCCCGATGTTTGTTTCAGTTTGTCCAGTGTGCTGGCCTGAACCACAAGCCTTTCCACCTGGTTGGCATGTCCATGGGAGGCATGGTTGCTGGGGTTTATGCCGCTCTCTATCCAGCCCACGTCTCCTCTTTAGCCCTCCTCTGCCCAGCTGGTAAGTATTTACATCAAGTAAGTGAAGAGTGAAGGAAAAAAGACAGAATGCTTGGCCCAAACTCTAAATTATAAAACGAGAAATGGATGGGCTCTTTGGAGATGCCTTCTCTGATCAGAAACTTCTTCGTGCATTTCTGCATAGCTACTTCTAGAGTTCACCTCCAGATCAGGGGTGGGTTCTACTTACCTTTACTACCGGTTCGCAGCGGGGCCGTGTGCGCTGCCATCTTTTTTTCCTCACCAACTTTTTCTTTTACTTTTGTGCCTTCAAGTCAGTCGTGGCCCCTAGCCACAGCCAGGTCTTGCAGTTTTCTTGGTGAGATTTCAAAAGTGATTGCTCTTGTGGCTCTTCTTGGGGCTTGGAGAGAGGGACTGGCTCAAGGCTACCCAGTTGGCTTTGTGCCTACTGTAAGTAGGGAGTAGAACTCACATTCTCCTGGTTTCTAGCCTCGGACCTTCAGCCACTACATCCAGCTGGCTCTCCTCCAATCTTTTAATCATTCATTTTTTAGTCATTCCTCTTTCACCAGAGCCATGGTGGTTAGAATGCAGTACTAGAGCCGTGGTGGCGCAGTGGTTAGAATGCAGTACTGCAGGCTATTTCTGCTGACTGCCAGCTGCTTGCAATTTGCCAGTTTGAATCTCACCAAGTTCAAGGTTGACTCAGCCTTCCATCCTTCCAAGGTTGGTAAAATGAGGACCCAGATTGTTGGGGGGCAGTATGCTGACTCTGTAAACTGCTTAGAGAGGGCTGGAAAGCACTGTGAAGCAGTATATAAGTGCTATTGCTATTGCTAATTCTGCTGACTGCCAGGAGTTCAATCCTGACTGGCTCAAGGTTGACTCAGTCTTCCATCCTTCCGAGGTCGGTAAAATGAGATTGTTGGGGGCAATATGCTGACTCTGCAAACTGCTTAGAGAGGGCTGTAAACCAGAGTTCCCCAACCTTTCTGGATTGTGGACTGCTGCAGAAAGCGGGAGAGGGGATGGTTTCATGCGAGTAGTCGGCAAGGGCGTGTGTATGCACAGCTCTATTTGTGCAAGCGGCGGGCATACGTGCCCACAGCTCACACAAGGGGGATGTGCATGAATGCTTGTGCTCACCCACTTTGGGTGGCTCAGTACTAGGCCATGGCTCAGAGACTGGGGATCCTTGCTGTAAAGCAGTATATAAGTCTAAGTACTATTGCTATTGAATATTTATGTGAAGCGGTATATAAGACTAAGTGCTATTGCTATTGAATATTTATGTGAAGCAGTATATAAGTCTAAGTGCTATTGCTATTTACCAGCTGAGGATATTGATAAATGAAATTATTTCACTTTAACACATTTTTAGTATTATTTCTATATTTTTAAGATTCTTGCTAGTTTTGTTCTAGAGTGGTAGTAATTTTTAAAAATATATTCCATATTCTCACCCTATTTTTAGGTCTGAAGATTCCAAAACAAACCGAACTCTTTCTGTGGTTAAAAAAGCTAGTTTTATCAAAGGATCCTGCTGAGCCTGCTCTTGTTTCGCTTACTAAGGAGCGAATAGAAAACTTCATGAAAATTTGCCTATACCAACCCAGTTTTTTAAAGATGCAGGTGAAGAACTGACCTTTTCCTAGATTGCTGCTCTCTGTGTCCCCTGTAATACCATCTCCCATTTCTCCTCAAGTTCTTTTACAAATGATTGAAATTTAAGATGGAAGGGAGACCAGCATCGTATTTCCCAAATACTAGAATAACAAAAGAGATGCATGGCTCCTTCCTTCCTTCCTTCCTTCCTTCCTTCCTTCCTTCCTCCCTCCCTCCCTCCCTCCATTTACTCTGCTCTTTTTCAAGAAAGGCCCCCTTTTGCGACCTTCTGACAAGCAAAGTCAATGGGGAATCCAGATTCACTTAACAACCATGTTACTAACTTAACAATTGCAGTGATTCACTTAACAGCTGTGGCAAGAGAGCTTCTAAAATGGGGCAAAACTCACTTAACAAATATCTTGTTAGCCACAGAAATTTTGAGCTGTCATAAGTCGAGGATTACCACTAGTATCCTCCTGCAGTTATGCACCTAATCTACGAATCAAATAGAGAAAATGTTGGAAAAGATGGCACTGTAAATTTTAACACTGCCTTAACTGCTGATTTATACTTTTCTCCTTTCACCTTTAGCTCCTAAAGGGATACCTTGAGGATCGGAAACCAAGTAAGATGTTTTTTACATTGTGTAGGTACAAGACACAGCATGGACCAGACTTGGCTACTCATCCATATTTTAGAATGGAGTACTCCAACTTTTCCGGCTTTGCAGACCAGTGGGGGGAAGGGAGAGGGGATGGTTCCCCATGAGTGGCCGGCAAATACATGCAGCTTTATTTGTGCGAGTGCTGGGATTGTGCACATGCCACTTGTGCAAATGGAGCATCCACACATACACTTGCCCACTGCTCATGCAAGTGGAGATGTGTGTGCATGCAGTACGCTTTCCTGCCACTTTTGCAGCCCGGTTTGAAATGGCTCATAGCCCAGTAGTGGTCCACGGCCCGGGGATTGGAGACCTATTTTAGAAGGGCCAGCATACATTTAATATCAAGAGAATCCATCCAGGGAGCTGCAGCCAAAACCAGCCCTTCATTCAAGACATTTTCACTGGATTGAAACATTTCTGTTTTCTACAATGAGAAAATAATCCTGAAAAGGACTGATATATTAGCAAAATGTGGGTCTATTTTACTATACATTTTTTTTAAAATTTGATTTATATGCCGCCCTTCTCCGGAGACTCAGGGCGGCTTACAATGCGTTAAGCAATAGCCTTCATTCTTTTGTATGTTTTATACAAAGTCAGCTTATTGCCCCCACAAACTGGGTCCTCATTTCACCTACCTTAGAAAGGATGGAAGGCTGAGTCAACCTTGAGCCTTGGAGAGATTCGAACCAGCAGAAATTGCAGGCAGCTGTGTTAATTACAGGGTGCACTAAACCCCTAAACATTTCTTTAATGAAGCAGAGAAAACAGGTTAAGCAAGGCTTCTGAAATTCTTTCCACTGTTTAACATTAGCTCTGTTCTGGATCATATCACAGGAAAGAAGGCAGCTTACAATGGAAGAGGCACTAACATTTGTTTGTTTGTTTGTTTGTTTATTGAGTACGTATTAGATAATATATATAAGTATAAGCATGAATTGAATACATAAAATGAATACAATTAAAGGGAACATTAGGACAGGGATGGTAGGCACGCTGGTGCTCTTATGCATGCCCCTTACAGACCTCTTAGGAATGGGGTGAGGTCAACAGTAGGCAGTCTAAGGTTAAAATTTTGGGCCAATGAATGCCCTTGGCCACACATTTCAGGATCATCACAATGAGGCAGTTTTACAAGCCCTCCAAGGGTGTTAGGAATATAACCCCCATAATTCCCAGTCAACTCAACTCCCATTGGGTGAAGAGTCCAGAGGTTGTTGCCCAGCTACATTTAGAGAGAAGCAAATTGGAGAAGCTGCAGGACTAGCATCAGGCAAATGAGAGCGCAAAGAGTTAACTCCTGGAGCTGAATGAATGTTCCATATCGGATTTCCTCATCCCATCATTATGAAGTGCGATGGCTCAGTGCTTTGCTCCAGCAGTTCGAGTTCTAGCACTGCATGGTGGGGTGAGCTCCTGTCACTCGCCTCAGCTTCTGCCCACCTAACAGTTCAGAAGCATGTTCTATGCGAGTAGTTAAATAAGTATCATTTTGGTGGGGGAGACGAGGATGGATTGTGTGGATGGTTAGAATCCTGCCAGTACTGAACCCACCCCAGTTGTGATGTCCATTTGAGGCGGCTTAGGGAGAGGGAGAGGGCCTCAGATGCTGCTGCAGGAGAAAGCCCTTGGTCTTTCTTTCTGGTGCAGTGTTAGCTCGCCCTCCTGTGGCCCACCTTGAGAAGTGCATGAGGGTGTACCAAATAGAGCTAGTAAACAAGATAGCCAAACTACTACTCTGCATAGCATTGTAGTCTTCTGGCTAATGTAACATCGCCATACGCTAAATAAATAAATTTCCCATTATTCATAAGAATAAGAATACTGAAGATCAGACACTCAGGGAAAACACAGGACGAGTGTCCTTGCTTATTAAGAATGGAAAGAAACCACCTCAATTTTACTTCCTTTTATTGAGAAAGGTTTTCTGGACCTCACCAGCACTGAATCGAAGTATAGCCTCCATGACAACATGAGGAAAATCAAAGCTCCCACCCAGATCATTTGGGGAAAGGAGGACAAGGTAAGGGATTTATGTGTATCTGGGGTTCTGTGCACACTTATGTAATTTTAGAATCAGGCAAGAGAACCAATCCTGCAATGGAAATTGTATTGCTATGGTTGTTCATTTGCTGATAGTTTCATTGTTCCTGGTGGAAATGCTTGACTTGAAAATAATTCTCAGTTGTTATTCTGAAGGTGACATCCTGCAGTTCAGTCAACAGCTTGAAAGTTTTGCCTACATTTCAAGAGGAGGAAAGTTTGTACAGAGGGTTGAGGGAGGCCCTTTGAAAGGGGGCATGGCAAAGGCTTATTCTGGGGTGTTAAGCAGCATCTGCAGACAGGATGAAAGGCAACACTACTGTATTTTAAATCCAGAATTGGGAGAAATGTAACAGACATTTTTTCCTTCCACTATCCTATACCCTCACTCTTATACTTTTTAATAAAAGTTTTCATACATTTCTTAGAAGCCACCTAAAGTGACTTGGTTGAGATGAGCAGCAATAGAAATTGAATGGATGGATGGATGATGAAATCTCATTTATCCTAAAAACAATGAGGCAAATCCAAACAAATGAAATAATGGTAGAGAGAATATCCTGATGAATCTTAGTGGTCAAAAGGTTGAACTATTAACAGTAAATAAAAACAATGGTAGCGCTAGCACTGATGATCTTTGGGTAATGAAATGTCTGCAAGAAAACAAAACAAGCTCAGAAAGCACCAAGAAACCTTCTTTACATCATAACAGAACTCACACGTAACCTGGCTATACAATTCAAGCCATTAAAACCTGAATATCTGAGAATAGCGGAGATGCAATTTAAAACATCAATTACTATTAAAAGCTTGTGAACTGAACATTGCTCCAAGAGCAAATGCAAGGTGGCATATTTTAATTGTGATGGGAAGACATTCCTTGTTTTGTTTTGTGTAGGTTTTTGATTCTTCGGGTGCAGAAATTCTGGCGGCTGCCATTCCTAATTCCCAAGTGCATTGGCTGGAAAAATGTGGACACTTCATAACCCTCGAGAGACCCAGGACATCTGCAAGGCTCCTCTTGGAATTCTACAAATCAGTCTGTGACTCAGCTGCGCAGAAGAAGGTGGCCTGAGGCTCAGGAAGTGCCAGATGGCTGGAGACCGGCAAGACCCATATTAACTTCTTTGGCTGATACAATGGGAGCTACAACTAGATACTTAGTAGGCAGCAGAGGAGGTGAAGACCTAGAGAAAATAACCACCACCATTCCATAGACAGGTCAAGAATTGATCCAACTTTCTAATGAAACTTGTACTTGTGTGTGTGTAGCATTGTTGCGTTACTCCATGTAGCTACGTTTACCTCTTCTTCACACCAATTGCCTTTCCTCTGTTGTTGAAATTGAGGCCTGAGCAAAGAATATTTCCAAATATGGTCAGAACAGCTTTTCAGATTTCTGCATTGTAAAGTTGTATGGTTTCTGGCACAGTGACCCAGAACCAAAATTTCCTCAATTTTCTCCAATATCAAAGGAACAGCTCCAAATAGGAAGATAAATCAGATGTCAGACACTCCAACCTATTGCCTCTGGAATCTATTTATTTTAGGAACCCTGATACCAAAAAGATTCCAATGATGACAGATAGAACAAGGCTGCTTGGCTGACTTCGTGCAACAGCCAAAGTCTGCTCTGAGAAAAGGAAATTTTAGATTAGCAGGGAGCAAAGGGTTTCATCTCTACCTTGTCAATCTATCCCAGCAGGGCACTGGATTTAATTATTTCAATTGTATCTTTCTACTTTTTACAGGATTAAAAATAGTTTTAAAAATTCCTCCCTTGGGGGCATGCTGAGCCTGCAATATAGCAAGGACTTTGTGGCAATATTTTGTACAAATATGTGAGTTAAAAACCCACTTCCCTAATATGGCGAGAAAGAATATCAGATTAAGGTTTGAAAATCAGTGATCCTCAGTGCTGCGTCCACTGTTAATTGCATCTACTTTAATTCTCTTGGAAGTGGTGAATTGTTGTTTGGTACCTTCAAGTCAGTCTTTACTCCTGTTTACTGCCTGGATTATTCCTAAAGTTTTCTTCACAAAATTTTCAGTAGTTTGCCTTCTTTCTAGGGCTGAAAATGACTCAATTCCCAAAGGTCACCCAGCTGGCTCCATTCCTAAAATGAGACTAGAACTTACGGTCTCCCAGTTTCTAACCTTGTGTCTTAACTACCACACCAAAATGGCTCTTTTGGATTACGTTAGATGGACAACATTCTCATTTTTATCTTTTTCTCCCAGTTCACTGAAATTTTATTTCCTGCTTCCTGTGATATCATGGCAATACAAAAGTGAAGAGCCCAAGCTGAGCAGATATTGGCAGAACCACTGTTGCTTGACTTGGTCATGCTTATTATTTCACTTTACATGTCACTTGGGTAACATGAAATAATGTAACAAGACTGATGTAACATGATGCAGGCAGCAAGATCTTCAACCACCTCCTAATGTCTCCTTGAAGAGTCTTGCTTGTGTGTGTGTGCGCATGTTTTTGAAAATACAGTATGTATCTTTGGGGATAGATTGTTCCAGAGAAGGAGAGCATCTCTAGGAAGCTTCAAACACAGAGTTCCTATAGAAGGCAAACTTCTCAGTTGATAAAAGTGTCTATGAGGAAAGCACTTAAATGAGTATTTTTTTTCCATCTCAGAATAACACTGTTCTTGAGAAAGAGGTAGGATTAGAATTATTCCTACTTCTTGCACTATGCATTTTCATTTTAGTGTTTGCTGCTTGTAACTGATTAGCAAAGCTTGATTTTAACTGCTCTTTTGGGAAAAAAATGGTAAAGGACTGCATTTGTTGGACTAAAGAAAGCACACTCACACATGCAAAACTGTAGTCAGAAAGGATGGACATGGTATGTCAGCTTTTATTAGTTGAAAGTAAAATCAAACTTCAGATCAGAATGAGACCAGTGTCTTATGTGGAAGATACTCTCTTCCCATCTTGGGCAACACTACAGTGCAAGAACAGATCTCTCTGCAAACTGCTCACACTTTGAAAATAATCATGTGGCAGACGTAAAAGTGATTTAAAATATTCCGCCCCCCCCCAAAAAAAGACAGAAAATATCCCTCCTACTTAATGCAACAGAACAGCTTATCAGAATCAATGTGTGTCCTTCTCACAGGCAAGACACATTTAAAGCTCTTAAGAGCCTTGAGGTAGCATCTTTATGCAAAATTAAAATCACCTTTTGGACCAGGCTGGAAAGCATCCACAGCAATCCACATGGTTTTAAGCTTTAGCTAGGCTCAGTAAAGATGTGTCATGCTCCTGCTAGTTTAGGGTCTACGTTTTCTTTTTTCTGGAAGATCAAGGTCCAGCATAGCCCTACAGCCTGCTCAAGGAGAACCCACAGAAAAGGCCTCTTCAAAGGAAACATGTGCTTAGAACAAACAGAAAACATTCGCCTTACACACACAGTATTCACAAAAATAATAATAATAATAATAACTGGAGTGGAAAAGACCAGAAAACTTGCATTTTTGTCCAACTAATTTTACAAAGACATTTCAAGAAAAAAAAAGATGACAAAATGGATGTCAGGTTTTTTTTCCCCCTCAAAGCTGCACTTTCTTGTCGATTTGTTTTAGATATTTTTTTTTTCATTTTAATACATTGTGAAAATTTGTGCTGTGACATCAGTAGACATATCTTAAGAATAGGACACTATAAATTCTTCCCAGAAACCTCAAAAAAGATATATAAGTTAAAAAAGAGTCTCAGAAGACACCACTCTAGTTAGCCACTTTGCTGCTGAGTTCTCTTATTAAAGCTAGACATCACTAATTACCCTATGCGAATGAATGCTAGATTTGCCCTTAGGAAAGAATATTACACAACATTTTGAAATGATGTGCAACATGAGAAGTTAATGAAGCCAAGATAAAGGAAGGATACAAGGATGGAAATGAATTATTCATAGCTGTTCTTGCTGAAATCCAGCTGGATTTGCAAAATGAAAGGGAAATCCACAAAGGAAGGAACAGATGTTTACATGATTGCTCTAGCTTTCATTCCAAATACTGCACAACAAATCATTTTAAGTTATACATTATAAATAATTTCTACTCTGACAGATCCCAATGGCTCTTTTAAAAAATAATTTCTTTAATGCGACAATCAACCAAAAATTGAACTTGTATTAAAATCAGATGATGATAAAAGTATCTATTCCAACTAGGCCTAAGGATGGAAGTCTCAAACAATACTCACAGTAATGTCAGTGACCAACTATCATAATGAAGTGATTCGTATGACCAGTTGGTCAGCCACAAACACACATAGATAAAAAGATTTTGCACCAATTGAAAGGATAAACCCAGTTTAGGATTGTGCAAATCAGCCCTTCAATTTGTCTGCTTTCAAAATAATATAGGGTTTTCATTTAAAGCAGAACATGTATAAATTAGTACTAATTCATCCTATTCACTTCGATTTGAAAATGGCTTTGAATATATCCTCAGTTCACTTTTCCTGGATCCTTTCTTACCAATGTAGAATTCTCTTCAAAATATCCCAACCCCAGCAAGTGCTCCTGAAGATTAACTAGGTAGGAGAGATACCCCAATTGTATAACCTGTTAGATTACATCACAAAAGACACAAAAGAACTTGGGGCAAGAAATGGAAAGGAATGCCTTTGTGGCCAAAATGGTGGTTCTAGAACACATTTGTTGGGTTCAGCTGTAACTTGGCCAAGCCTTAAAGAGTTTTTTTTTTTAAATGACTTGCTACTTATACAAGAATAAAGGCTGTACCACTTACCTTTTCTCACCAATCCCTTTTATGAGATCCAGAGCCAAGTAATAATTTGCCCAAATTGAGAAACATACATTTAAAATCTTTGGTGTAAAATCTTTACATAAATAAAGCATTTTTTCTCAGATGTTCAAATTGTAGCTAAGTTTGAATTTATATATTGGGGTGGGGGGGGGAAACAAAATATGATGGCCAGGGCTTCAGTAACTTTTTCAACGGCAATGATTATAAAAAGAAAAAAAAATATTTTCAAGTGCTATCTCCTGATTCAACAACATATAAAACACTTAAATCTTAAATTAGTAACACAGAATAGAAATTGTAAAAAGGGGGTAACAAGCTCCAGGCTAAAAGGCAACGTATGAATTAGATTTATAGCATTGCCAATGGGAATTCAGAATGGCTGAATTATGTATCAAATTTTGATGGCACAATGACTAAATTTTGACTTGTTCTATAAGCTGAAAATCCACAATGAATGAAAATTTATTCCTAAAACACATATAAGATGAGAAACACTGATAATGGAATTGGCAACTGATGCAATTTCATACAGGATCAATAGCTTCTTCCCTAATAATTTCTGATGCTACATTTAGATTATTTTTATGGCAATTTCTTACATGGTTAATACTTGGGTAAAATTTAAGAGTTACTTCTTTTCAATAATTATATATAAACTGACAGCTATATGCCGATTCAAGCAAGATCTTAGAGAAATGCAGCTAAATGAATCTGCATTCAAAAAAGTGCCTCCAATACAATGTTAATTCTCCAGAGATGAGGTTATTTTCTATTATAGCTTTTTAAAAAAATCATTTTTGAAGTAAAATGCTGTTAATTTTCAAAAAGGACTTAGCAAATAGGTATTGTAGTTGGAAACTGTATATCCAATAGTTATATAATATTGTAAAGTATTACAGTATAATGGACCCCATTAGTACATAAATATTTCTTAAATTACAAAAAAACCCAACCCTTTTTTTCTTTTTTCTTTTAAAAAAAAGCATTAAAACAGATTTTGCCAATGGCAATGCTATGCAAAATCTAGAAGTACCAAGAATCTCCATAAGCAGAAATTTAAAAGAAATTTCTGCTGTTTCCCAGCAGGCCAAAAATCAGTCCAATTTAGAAAACAGCAGCAAATCTTCTGCGTAACCTTTGCGGCCCCTGAACCTCATGACCTATGATTCAAACTCACTGGAGTCTTGAAACTCTGCTTAAGACATCTCACAATTCAGCATTTTACTTCACTGTCCATTATTTATCGACCAGGTTCCATTGGAACCCTTCAGCTTTAAACAACCACACTCCCATTTCCAGAAAAGAACAAGAAAGACTCAGAACTGGTTAACCTGCTGTTCCTACAAATGTCCCATCCTTTTTGACATTCAAATCCAAATGTATCATTATTAAAATCAGATTTTGATCGTGTGAGGAAAAAAAAAGCTGTCAACAAGAAGGTAATGTTAAGAAGGGAGCTATTTCCAAGTGTAGGAACAGCCACCAACCATCCAGATTTCTGATTTCAAAGTTTGTTCTTCCTTCCTTCCTTTCTTTTTTTTAACAAGAACAACAAATTGGCTGCTCCATTTCTTTAGTATCAGGCACTTGAATTGTTGGGAGAAACATGCCATTCTGAACCAAGCAATGTGAAAAGAGGATTAAGAGACTCAGCAGTAGGCTAGGTCTAATAACAAAATTTCAGCAGCAAAGCGGAGGCCTGGAGTGAGCCCTGAACCCTCCAGCTATGCTGAGACCTGCGTAGGTTTCTTTTAAAAAAAATGCCCAAGAAGACACCAACAGCCACTGTCCCGTAGTGTCCTTTTTTTCATTTGTGTGGTGCTGCGCTGTTACTAATAGGAGACTTTTCTATGTCTTGAACTGAGAAGGCATCAAGGCACTCTGCGCCTAATTGCCTGGATTGATCAGGTCCATGCTTGAACCAAACAAAGCCACCAGCTGCTCTTCATAATGTGTTATATTCCTCTTCATAATGTCCATGCAGGGCCCAAGTAACCGCTCAAATGCTTGCACATCCATAACTGCACAGAAATACAGAGAAATGTGAACAGAAATTTTTACATTAGTTCCAAGGAAGCTGCCAATCCAAGCTCTTTTTTAAAAAAGCAATGAAATAAATTACCCAGAAAAGCAGAAAAGAAATCCTTGGAGAATGAATAAATGATTTTATTTTAAGATCCCCAACTCCAATTGACTCTGAGCAACTGACAATTGAAAAGCAAGAAAAATAAAAACTTGAGAAAGCTATTGTAGATATTCAAAACAGAGCAACAAACAGAGCAAAACTGAAGAAAACAACCTATGGGGGCTCAGCACCCCAAGGCCTAGGAAAACAGCCAGATTTTTAAGGATTTTTGGAAGCTCATAGGATGGGAATCATGCAAATCTAGGGGATATTTAATTAAATGGAATTATGAGTGATGGGACAAGAATAACAACTGGCTTTTTTTTTTTTTTTTTCATATGCATATGCCTTAATGTGACCAAAGAGAATTTTTAAACACCTGATTTTGCCATTATTACAGACTCAGTAATTCAGTTATTTACCTTTAAATTAGAGCAATCACAAAATAGTCCCAGAAGTAAGAATTCCCAAGGACAGAGGAAAGAATCTTGGAAATATTATACTAAATGCTTCCCTTCACTATCTTTGAAGTAGATAGTATTACAAGATCTGCAAAGTCCAAACTTATAGAATTTGTCATTATGGGCTATTTAATTACAATACTGGATACTTGGAAATTTAGTTCAGTAAGGGAGAAGTTGCAACTTCTCACTTCCTTTTAACCTTCCTAGAAATTTAAGTAATAATGGAAACTCCACACAGTACGTTATTAATCGAGAGATCATAAAATGCTAATATGCTTTGAAATATAAGGTGCTAATAGTGGGAGAAAAGATTTCTTAAAGTTTCATGCCAATTTTCTAATAACCAAGTACCAAATACAGTATACATTCAAGGGATTCCTAGAACCATGACCGATTTGTATCACAAGTGAAGAAGCCATTTGAAACAAATGATGGATTCAAACAGAACAGTATGGAAGGCAGAACCAACTGAATCAAACTCTAATAGTAATTATGACAAAGAAAAACAGAGTCCTTACCTAAACATTTGACTACCCCAACAGCATAGGCAGAGGCTGCTCTTGGTTTGTTAGTAACAAGTGCAAGCTCTCCAAAATACTGTCCTTTTTGACATCGAGCAATCTCTACCTCTTGGTTTGCATCTTTTACCGTCACGGTCTACAACAGAAATTCAAGACACAGAATTGATTATTTGCTGACAAACTGTTACGAAAAATATTTCACCTTCCGCATAATCCTGAGATTAGCTGAGATTGTCCTGTTCTCAGTTCCATATCTTTCAGAGGTCATATTAAAGCTTGTATGAATTAAATCCTTTGGGGTTATGATCCCTTTATTGCGAAACACTCTCCACAAATAAGGTTATCCAGGAACGTGTGTCCACATTAGTAAATGAATATGATCTAGTCCTGACTTCTTGACAGGTAACCTGTTCATAGGATATTTCTTTTGCCAAGTCAAGAAATGAGTCCTAAAAGTGCACACACATCTTAAGCACTTCTTAAGCCAAACATTTTCCAGCAAAACTTCATTTGCAAAGACAATTTCATTAATGAAAAATGTAAGTGATCTTTCTAACTTAGTGTCCATTAGATGTGTTAGGAACGCTACCCAAAAATTCATAATAAATGTGATCGCTCACTATAACTAGCTAGAAAAATCTAGGAATTATAGTACCAAAATAGCTCAAGGAAACCAGATTATATAAAGTATAAATGGATTTACAATAAATTGAAGAAAACATATGCAGGATGAAGCTCATTACTAAATTAACACACACTCTTTTCCAGGCTATGTTAAGAGCGCATTTAAAACATAACTAAGGGGCTTTACAGAATAAACTTGATATTCCCACTTAACAGGATTAACTTCCCATCTCATTGCAACTCTGTTTCCAAATCCTATCTTAAGCTTCCATAATTGTTCACTGATCTATGGTTTCTTCATTGGGCATCCTCCATCTTTCTTCCAAGATAATTGGAATGTGACACAGTAAGGACTATTTTCAGGAAAGATCCCTTAACTTTGTCAATTCAATGAGACATATTTAAAAATATTCTAAATTTTAACCATCATACCAGAAATAACTGAACTCACCTTGCTTTTAATCATGATCTTTACTTCACCAGATTCTACAATGAAAAAACTCTCCGCCTTATCACCCTGTGACAACAAGATTACAGATGTCTTTGGATTTTCTGAAGTGTTGATCAAAATCAATTTCAAACAAAGTAATGTAATTTCTGAGATTGAGCTAGGAAAAGCACACAGGAGCACAGAGAAAAGAATCTATGCCACCTAATCTAAGATGTGGAAATATAAATGAAAATTCGGACAATATTGAAATATTTCAATGGAGAAAGGAGATCCAAATATAAAAGTCACTGCTGCTTTAGAAAATTATGGCATACTTTCCAAATATTGTTTGAGCAATCCTTTTGATTTTGAAAAGTAATTACTATATTCTGTATTCTAGAATCCAAATAATAATACAGAATATAAATTAACAGTTCTGTACAAAGTACAAACTGTAAAATATTTTTTACATTTTACAAAACATTCTTTGCAATCCATTTTTAAGAATTCTATTCTAATTCTGCATATCACTGAATTCTTAACTATCTTCCAAATCCAATATATTTAGCAAAGTGGGAGAACTGCACTTATATACCTGAGCAATGATGCGTTCTCCATCTTGATATGTCTTTTCTCCTATTACATCAACAATCTTCATTCGCTCAGATGGCTGCAACAACAACAAAAATGAATTTAATATGCCCTGTCCCTTTCTTTGGCATAATCTATTTCCATAGTGCAATGGAGGTTGCACGTTTCATACTAACTTTTATAATCATGCATAATTTTACCCTGAACTTCTATATTCTGTGGATGCCATATACTTGCTTTTTTCCATTCATATCTATCCCCATGTCACTCTTACTTTTTGCATACATCTCAACCCAAGAAAATGGACACATTATTACTCTGGTCCTTTTCAGAGGTGTGTGTGTGTGTGTATCTACTGAAGAGGAACAGCAGGGGGCGGTTCCATCACCATTAGTTCTAGAAGCTAATCCATTTCTTCGCTTTCATTACTAAATTAATTAGCAGAAGGATGATTACAGCCTAGCTTGTACTCTATGATAACTTTCCTGACTATCTGACAACTAACTTCATATTGCCATATGTTCCATATAAGCTACCACGATGTAAATTCCCAATGTAAAGAAACCAGTTTAGATTATAGAAGCCAACTGCCATATAGCAAGACTCAGTCATATATTTCTTGGCAGACTCAGAGAAAAATATATATAGAGTACCAGCCAAATCTGTCTGAAGAGCTTACTGAAAAACCTATCAAGATTATAAAGTCCCGTAATTGCTGTCATAGATGCTTTCCTTAATCCCTAACCTCCTCTTAAACATTTACAATGCTGAGGAAAATCTAATTAGACATGCTTTCCAGTTCATTTCCACAAAGTACTTTACCTCCAGTGACTTAAGAAGAGGTACTGATTCAATAAATAATTCATACGTTCTCCTTTTCCTTGCATTATTTTTCAATATAATTCTTCTGAATGTTACACGATCCTTCAAGAAATAGAATGAAAAAAATATTTTCTTTGGTTATTTTTGAGCTAATCAAATTAGAACATCAACACAAACAGAAAACATACCTATATATACAATAACAATGGCCTTTTTTGTATGAATAAGTAGCATATTATCCACTGGTATTAATACTACTAATTTTTTAAAAAGGTCTACATTAATCTAATTCTATATTTCAATAAATCTCCAAGTGAACAGCAGCTGAGATAACCTTTACATGGAACAAAGTTAAATATAATATCTTTCTGTAAATTTAAATGCATGCTTACTATTTACACGAAGTTGAAAGATTCAAAATTTTAAAAAGGTGCAGAAGCTTCAATACCTTTTGGTCAGTATCTTCTAATATTTCCTTTGGCAAAAATAACAAGTTCAAAATATAGGCAACTAAGAATCTTTCTCTTCTTGCCTTCTGTTTGAGATGTGTATATGTAGAGCAGAAGGACTTTTACGTATGTTTGCCACCTTGACATTTATAAGAAATAATAAAGGTGGAATAAAAACATTTTTAAAAAGCACTTGCACATCAGGAAAATAATATGACTTAATGATCTCTCTATTATCAGTACAGGCTGTTTCTCAGGACACCTATCTTTTAACTGGATTTTCTCCCAAAGATTGAGGAATAGAATTTGATCTTTTAACTACAGAAAATAAACCAAAGTACCTCACACAATATTTAAAGGATGACAAGCATGCAATGGATGTAATTATGCAAATGCTACAATTATGCACTTGCACTAAATATTTGAAGTCAAGGCATTTGCATAATCACATCAACATGTGTCATTTGCCTCACTTGACCTCTTGGAAACCCCAATGACCATTTGCCTTAAACCATCAAGGAAATCTTGCTCACTTAAGTGCATATTAAACTTGACAATAACTACTATAGTCAGTATTGATTAACTTGGAGAAGGGGAGGTTGTAGTCCACCAGAGACTGCTGGATTTCAAGCCAGCAAATCCAATAAACAGGTGATGAATCTAGCCATTTCTGGGGATTATGCATTCCCCATTCTGTTATTATTCAGTTGTAGGACACTTCAGGAAATCAGTTTTAAAAAATGCAGAGCCAAATAATTTAATGCTGTTTACATCAAAATCTTCTGACAACTTGAGGAGGAGCAATAATCTGAACTGACACAGTGCTGATTCTGCATAGTAACTCCAATGTTCTTTTTTTTTTTTTTTTGCAAGACTGTTTCCATTAGATGGCAGCAAATGATCGAGTTGATTTGAGATTGTTCAGATCCTGCACAAGCGTCAAGATCAGTTTTACATGTGTACAACTGCCAGTGTAACTTGTAACATTTCAAATGCCATGGCAATATTATTTTTGTTCTAAAGTACATACTGTATCACTTGTGCATTGCAATCAGGAAAATTGTATAATCATTTTCCTATGGCACCAAAATAAGATTCCATTTATTCAAGTTTATACCTATGTAAGAAAATCTGCCCATAATGTGCTCCAGACTTAGTCCTCACTAATCTGGAATATTTTTATTTTATTGACTGCTTATCTTTAAGTAAAATATCCTCTGAGAAGTGATTCTCCACTGAAATGGTAACTATTTCAAACATAATTCTGAAAGCCTCCGTCTCACTTTCAATGTTCTCTTTGCATGCTTGTCATTTTGATCAAGGAAAAATACCTATATTTCCCGATTCAACCAAAACTGTAAATAAGACAGCTTTTGCAATGTTTCTAAGATGCTATGCTTCACATGCAGTTAGAAATACTTATCAAATAGGAAGCCATAGATAAATTCCTACTTTGTGTGGATACAAAAAGCCTTAAAAAAATCACACTTTAGAATTTGGGACCAAGTAAAAGGCGAAAGATTTATACGATCTGAAGAGAAACCTGAAGAGAAACTATATTACTGTTGCTAATTAAGGAAATAGAACCAACAAAATATGAGAAAGAATTGATTAGAATTATGATTATAATGGGTAGAATTATAATAGCCAGATATTGGAAATTAGATGTGAATTTTAGAATAGAAGAATGGTATTGTGAAATGTGGAAATTAGCTTTAAATGATAAAATGACATGTGATATTAAAATTAGAAATGGTGACTATAAAGAAGACATTTTCTGGAAAATTTGGAAACCATTTGTGGACTATGCGCTGGGAAAATTGGATGCTTCGGTACCTGTACCCCGAGAACGTGGATTTTGGCGATCATGAGGATATATCCGAAGAACCAAATCTTCCTTTCTTATGTATAGCACAGGGTGAAATATTGTACATGTTGTTTGTAATGTTAGTAATTTAAAATATAAAATGTTAAAAATAAAAAAAAAATAAAAAAAAAAGAATTTGGGACCAAGATTAGAAAGATCCAAATCTCGGTCAAACACTAACTCTTCCTACAACATAAATTATAGGGCTGTTGTTATAAGGATGAAATTGGAGGAGGGAAGTGTTTATCAGCACTGTGCATACTTCAAAATGATTTGAGAAAAGCATTTTGGGCACCATGTGAGCAGAGCACAGGACCTTTCGCTCAGTCATTAAAGTTGCCATATATTTTTTTCTGATTTCTGCACAAAGAAGATGATATTGTTTTAATGAGCAGCATCAACTTTTTAGAATTTAGATGCTAACTTTGCAAGAGGTCTCAAGCACATCTTTCTTACCATTTTCTAAGCATTTAGAACCATAGTGTTGGCAACAGCTTTAAACTCCTGAGAACAAGGAAATAATCTGCAGTGATTTTACTGGGATTATAGAAAATTGAGATTCAGTTTCTTGCTTTGCCAATTTAGGCTCATAACAACTTCAGTGTGTATACTATAATGTAATGTGTAATGACCTCTCATTTAAATGTCAAGCCTTTTCTACCACCTCTGTCATATAGAGAGGTCATTACATATTACATTATACTATACACACTGAAGTAGTTATGAGCCTAAATTGGCAAATCTTCAAAAAACAAGACAAAGTAAGTAAACTAAGATAATTGTGAAGCAAACAAAACATTGATAAAAGAATCTCTGGAATGTTGAAAATGATATTGATGATTATGTGGAAATGGAAGTATAGTTACAGAAAAATATCAAACTCATGAACTATCAGATGGTTTCTCTACTACATTTGGCCACTAGTTCAACATGGAACAAACTGGACCTAAAAGTGTTTCATGTATTTTTAATGTAATTTTGTTACATTCCATCAGGAATGTAGGTGTTAATTTTTACTTTCACACATTCTCACAACCACCTCTGATCTATATAGGTTACCCTGAAAGACAAGTGACTGGCCAAAATCATCTACAGTCATAAGCACCATAACTAGTGGCAGTCTGACCCTATTCCAACATTCTGATCATTACCTTTCACTAGTATCTTCCATTTATAATGTAAAACAAAATAAAAAATATTTAACTCTACTCTGATCAGTTAAGAGAGATTATTATCATTCCCATGATGTAATGATTCTGATGCTGAGCAAGGTGTAGGTGGACTCTGGTTCTACTTTCTTAGAACTAATTTTACATGTGGCATAGCAGAATTTGGCCAGAGAAAGTACTTCATACCGATCTGATAATAATAATTGTATGTAAAAAAGATCAGTGTTTCCCAGATATTTTATTAGGCTAGGTTTTATTAATTGACTCTGTGAGTCCTCATAGAAGATGCAGGATGTATAGCAGAATGTGAGCTATAGTTTTAATTGCCCCTTATCCAACATCTCAGATCATATGGTTTTGTTTTGTTTTTTGCATTGGCCCTCCAAAACTGCTGTGGGAAGTCCTGCTAGATGATCCATGCAAATTGCATTGTCCTTTGTGTGCTCATCCATAACATCCATACATATCCATTCCCTTCTGAGGCAAGCAATGTTATGCAAAGTGCAGAAATGGAGTAAGAAACACTGAACTAAAAATTTAAGTGTGAGTTAAGAAAAATATAACAAAATACAACTAAACCTATTTACCATTCCCTATACCTCTCCATCCTTGCAAACTATCCTTGCTTGCAAACATTCCTCCTTTCCTCTTTACATTTCTCACATTTTACTTATGGAGGGTTTTTTCAGCTTCATCCAACTGACTTTGTCTTCTTCTCCCTCTTGATCAACCCTAACCCTAACCCTCTTCTCATATATTTATTTTTCAATTTAATACTAATTCATGCTCTCCATATAACCAAAATGCCTCAAGGTGACTCTTCCATACCAGTCACTCACTTTTGAATTCAATACATATTAATTCATTCTTGATCTGATCACTTTCCTTTTGACAACATATTTTTCGGAGTATAAAATGCACCAGAGTATAAGACACACCAAGATTTCAAAGAGGAAAACAAGAAAAAGAATAGGTTTTGGCTTCCGTGCATCTGGTTTCTGCCCTCCCCGTCCCCCAGGAACACTTTGCAGGCCTCCCAAACCTTTTGCCAAAAATGGAATGTGCAAAGGGTTTGGGAGGCCTACAGAGTGCTCCTGGGGACTGGGGAGAGCAAAAACGTGACGCATGGAGCAGTGGTGGGGTTAAAAAAATTTTTACTACCAGTTCTGTGGGCGTGGCTTGGTAGGCGTGGTATGGTTTGGTGGGTGTGACAGGCGAAGGATTCTGTAAAATCTCCATTGCCACCCCACTCCAGGGGAAGGATACTGTAAAATCTCCATTCCCTCCCCACTCCAGGGGAAGGTTACTGCAAAATCCCCATTTCCTCCTGATCAGCTGGAACTCGGGAGGCAGAGAATAGATGGGGGTGGGGCCAGCCAGAGGTGGTATTTACCGGCTCTCTGAACTACTCAAAATTTCTGCTACCGGTTCTCCAGAACTGGTCAGAACCTGCTGAATACCAACCTCTGGCGTGGAGGCCAAAACCTACTTTTTTTCTTGTTTTCCTCTTTAAAATGGATGGTTTGGGAGGCCAAAAATGGGCCTATTTTTGGCCTCCCACGCCCCCCCCACATCACATTTTTGCCCTCCCCAGCCCCCAGGAGCACTCTGCAGGCCACCCAAACCCTCTGCACATCCTGTTTTCGTGAAAAACAGGCCTGTTTTTGGCAAAAACAGGACACACAGGGTGGAGTTTCGGGAGGCCAAAAATGGCTGTATTTGGTGTATAAGATGCATCAACATTTCCACCCTCTTTTGGGGATGGGGGTGAGAAGTGCATCTTATACTCCGAAAAGTATGGGTACACTTAAGTATCTCAATTCTACTGGATTCAATCTTAGAATTTCTGCTCTCTCTTCCATATAACAAAGCAGCATGGGCTTAAATATCACAATTTTTGTGGAAATCAGGGTTTATCTGCACGTCTGCAACTTTTTTCTTCTATTTTACTATCTTTTTCATCTTTCTTCCTTCTGCTTTTTACATGTCCCTACAACAGTCACATTTGGCTAAAAGCAAATAAAACTTTGCTAGTAATAACAAGGCTGGAAGCTAAGAGAAATCCGCATGTTTCAATATACTGACATAAATGATAATAGAAATTGTGTTTGTGTAATTCAAGACATATTGGAAGATTTCCCACAAATAAAACTTACCAGTCCCCAAAGGGCCCCTTCTGTGGTGGCAACAATAGTTGCAGCTCTAGGAGTGTTATACATCAAGGCGAGTTCCCCAAAACTGCCATGATTATCGTAGCGACCAACACAGCGAGTTTGGCTTTCTCGTGCTACAAAAATATCATATGATCCCCTAGAAAGATGGGAAAATAAAAACCCAAGGCATTAGTTCAAATGCAAAGCACTAATAAAAGCTTAGTTTAGTAAAAATAGTAGTAGTTTATTCTTTAAAGTAAAAATAAAACAAAACATTTCCATCTGGTTGGAGCAGAATATGCCCTGTCAGAATATATCCCTATTTCCTACCAAACACTGCCCATCCACAGTTCCCATCTTTTCACTGAATTGATCACTATAGGCAAGCATAGCTGAGAAAAAGCAGAGTTCTTGGCTTGCAGAAATGACCACCAAGTAAGCTTCTAATCTATACAACTAAGCTGAGGTTAATTCCCTTCCACTGTTTGCAATAGGGGCAGATGCATCGAACTGCTGGCGGGGGGTGGGGGGGTGGGCAATCTGAGAATAGTGAAATAGTATTTTTCATTTCTTTCTCTTTCTGTTGTTCTAAATGCCTCACAGGTTAAAATCTCAGAATCCATTATAAAAGCCAATGGGCCTGTCCTGCCCATATTTTAATTATTTGAACTTAAGCATTATGTTTTTACAGAAAGATCTGCAGAAAGATATTTTACTATATAAGTGATTCTGCCAAACTTAATTTTTTCCTCAAATGATTAACCTGTCCAACTACCTATCTTCATTCAGAAATTTAGCACTGATTATCTGAAGAGAAAAAGGGGACCAGTCTACAGCATTATTCTGGTTTTCTCAAGACAGAGGTATCATTCAAGAAACGCTTATTAGGAATTATTTTTTCCTCTGTTTTCATAAGATTCCTTGGCTTGTACATCTTTAGAGATATATCAGATCACATTTTTCAATCTGACAGTTTTATGTGTGTTATATTTTCCAAGGTAGCGTGAGGATAATAGTATTCTAAAATGCACTTCATAAAAAGAATTTATACCGATCACAATAAAAAATAGTATTTTCCTTGTGCTTTAAAAAGTGGAATGAGAAAACAATTTTTGGAGGCTTTTAAGAAATAACTTTTGTTTATATATAACCTCTTTATAAGATGCCTAGATAATTTCCAGAGCTGTCTAGCATAAATGAATAGCTTCTAGATAACCCTGCCTTGTAACAGTTTTTCATACAAATTTTATTTGTATTTTATTATGATCGAAATAAGATTCGGGACTAAAGAAATGAATACATTTTAATGCTTATGCTGGTGGGAGATCACATAGCTAAATAAAACAGTACATATTATATCAGAACTATTAGCAAACTAATAATTCAGTTTTTTTCATAATAAAGTTCTATGGGTAAAACATATACACAATCTCAACAATATCAGAAATGAAAAACTACTGAATGAACCCAAGACTAGGCAAAAACCTGACTGTTGTTGAATATGCCTTTAAAATGTATGCTTAAACAGCAAGAAGCAAATTCCTATGGAATAACTTCTATAAACAGGCATACCAGACTTGGTGAAAGAATAAGTTCCCAATGGTTCCCAGAATAACATAAACAGGATTCTTGTAAATTCAGCCCAGATCCTAAAATTTGTTCTTTTTTTATCTGTGTAAGATATTCAAAGGTGCTTTTAGATTTTAAATCTTCCACTTTGTTTTTTTTTTTTATTTTTGAAAGTATTATAAACCACATCACATATTTTAAAGAAGGGATATAAACTATTGTAGCAATAAATAAAAGAAACCATGGATCCCAATAACCTGTCCAAACTGAGACAACTCAGTTAAGTTGGATTCTTCAGAATTTCACTGTAAGAAGGCATTCATTGTGAAAAGCAATGAGCTCAGTAATATTTGGGAATGAACTAGCGGAGTGTTGTGGTCCGCCGGCAGCCTGCGGAGCTGGCAGTAGTCTCTGACAGTGAGGAGGCTGGGGAGGAACATGGGCCAGTCCTGGAGTCTGGGGAAGGCTCAGATGAGGCCTCTGTGTCGGAGGCAGAGATGGGGCAGGGCCATCTGGGAGTTATGTGCTGACTCCAGAGCCTCCTGAGTCTGACGTCAGCGAGGCAGAGGAACAGGTGGAGCCTGTCCCCAGTGTGCGCATCCGCAGAGCTGCCAGTAGGCAAGAACAATTAAGACAAAAGCGGCGACTCAGGAGTAAGACTTTGGGATGATTGACCCCTCCCATAAGACATAAAGGAGGAGCAAAGGCACTTGAGCCTTTGCAGGAAGCAATTTTGTTCATGCTGGTCGGTTTAAATTCTGAAGCTCCATTTTGACTCTGTGCTCCGTGTGGCCTTGCAAAGCTAATTGCCAATTAGGTCTTTGGCAGTGTGTCAAGGGAGATAAAGATGGGTGCTTATCAGCCTTATCCCAAAGGACTGTGGCAGACTTCTGTCAGACTCTTTACAAACTATTTGTGATTCATCACAGGCTGCGAATGAACAGAATTCACAGCTATTGAAATAAAGAGGGTTTTGGGGACAAATTGTGTGCTTTTTACTGTCTCAGGAAGCCTAGGTCAGAACACAGAGCTATCTTTAACCCTTAAAACCAGTAAGCACATTCTTGTAAAACAAAAACCTTTCTATTTGAAATATTGCTTTACAAAGATGAAATGGCTATCTGTGAAATGGACTAAAGTTTTACATCTAACATCTATAAATAACTTCTATATATCAATATGGGGTTCTCATATATAATTTTCAATTGATTTCTGCAATATAAGATGGTAGTTAAAATTGTGTTCCTTTAGTAAATCTTCTTACAATCATAGCAGCTTTAGTTTGTCCTTTTTATCTGAAACTTAGAAAGTTCAGCTTCCTCATTCCTAGTTAATACAATTTAATTTAACATTTATGTCAGAAACAGTTGGCTCCTTACTCTTCAATGACATAAAAGTTGTCTCCATCATCTCCTTGGTCAATTACATGTTCCTGAGGTCGCACTTTTCTTTCAAACATGGCATCCAAAACTTGTGACAATTGTTCCTGAAAGGATAAAAGCATTTCAATTAACATTTCTTATGAGGACTAAGTCGTTCATTTATAATGCCCCAAATACTCGTCTATACCATGAGCTTTTTTAACTACAGAGAAGAGTATTTTTGAATGGGGTGCCATCTCACTTGTTCATAAATGCAAAAAACATACAAATCAAACTAAAAATAGATTTTACTTTCCTATGTCAGAAAAAACTCCCTTCTACTTCTAGGGTCTTCTAACTCCAAAGAACAAATAGAAGTCTGCCATATTAAAAAAGAAAAAAAAATGCCGAGGAATCTCAAAGCTGACCATGAAAACAGTGGCTACAATGCTATCTGTGCAGCCACTGTTCTCATGGTCAACTATGAGATTCTTGGCTTTGCTGTTTTGAAATATTTTGAAAATGTTTCAGGATAAAGTGCTAGGCAACTGATAAGCAGAGGTATGGTCTCCAAAAGATCAGTAAGTTTTGGTTATATCACATTTAGTCATCTATCTAGTGGTTTTGACAATTCATAGGGGACACATCTATGAAACTGATTTCTAGTTGATCAAAATGAGTAAAAAGCACCATTCTATACACCAAAGAAAAGTGCCAGCCCGAAAAAGTCCAGTTACACCATGAAATGCAGGAAGTACCACCTCTTGAAGAAGGGAAAGAGAAAGGGTAAAGTTCATGCCAAATGATTCAAATTCCAAAAGAGAAAAGATGGGTATTCTTTCCCTCAGATCTTCCCCAAATCTATTTCAGAGAGATTGAGACAATACAAGATAATCTCTGCAATGAAACATAGAAAACTGACAGCAGAAAAAGACCTAGTGGTCCATTGATTCTGCCTTTTGAGGGCAGAACTGCCTAATCTTTGGCAAAACTTCCTAATCAGTTCTCCTAATCACAACAGTAAAACTTAAGAAGAGCTGAAGAAGCTCACTGGATGCTTCTTGGATGCTTCAAAGAAAAATCAGAAAGTTCAGTTGCCTCTTGGAAAAGCACCTTCAGGACAGTTGTATCTTGGTGCATGAAAGTCTGCATCAAAGCCAGACTTGCTACTTCTCAGAAATGCATGTGGCAGCAAGCTTGGAAGAAACCAACAGGATGTATGATTGTTTTTACTTTTACCAGAAATTCAAGAATTCAGTCTACAAAAATCTTTAAATTTGCACATCAGCAGCATTTAGTTCTCTGAAAATAAATTTTATTACAGTTAGCAACCAATGCAAAGAAAAAAAGACATAATTACAACAAAATATCCATGTACATATAGATAAACAAACAGGTAGGCTTAAGATAACAAAAAAAATGCAGACATACCATTCATAAAACCTGTGGAACTAATCTAGTTAACTCACCCTGTAAAATCTGATCTATAAAACCTACTTTATTTGCCACTTTACAATCCTTGGTTAGTACATATAAAAATCAGTTAAGAGAAAATTGGAGGCAGGAAATAACTTTATGGCATACATTACAGAAATGGACGAAACATCAAAATTTTGCCTGCTGATATGTTTTATCTGTAAAACACTTATACTTTTCTATGGCTTCAAAGTAAAATCTCACCACTTGTGCCAAAACATTAGGGGCTATGTCCTTTAGCCTTAGAGGAAGGTAACATTCTGTGGATCTCCTTTGTAACCTTTTAATAAATGGAGTTATCCTTCAGTGAGTGGCTTGCTCATATGAGAGGCAGTTTAGAAGAATATGAATGCATTTAATTCTTCGTAAGGTTTAATTTTAAGTCAAGTAAGAAAAGAATGATGATAGTCTAAAGGGTAGTGAATTAATATTTTATGGCAGCAGATATTATCAATCTAAACGTAGACTTTAAAATAGGCTGATTCGTGTTTTTTTTAAACTACTTTCTTTGTCAGATACTCCCTTTGAAGATTTTGAAAATACTTTAATAGAATCAAAGGCCAAGAGAAAGCTTCTTATCCTATTTCTTAAAATAAGAGAAAAATTTCAACCCCTATATTAAGGATTATAGGAATGTCAATGTCCTACTCTTATCTTGCAACAAAATGTTTCCCTTAGTATGAGGAAAGGGTTTTCAATTAACTAAAGTTGTTGGGTGATTTTTTTAAAAAACACCAAAATAAATTACTGTTTAAATCTCTGAGGTTTGGGGTGTTTAAATCTCCACTGAATATATTTAAAATAAAACACTGCTTCAAGAAAGCCAATTTTCACCTAAAAATTACTGCTTCAATTACTGAAAAGGTTATTGCTTAGATACATCCACAAGATAAATGAACAGATATTTATTCTACCTGTGTTAAAATAAAAATATAACCATATAACTTCCTTAGAGAACACTTGAAGGAGTCATCACATTGTAAGTTCAAAATTCTGGAGGAAAATATCTCAATGGTAGTAAGCATTGAATATTTGTCAACAAAAAGCAGATATTTTATTTTTTAAATGTTATTCCAAAAAGGCATTATGCATCATTTGCATATCAAATATGTAATACCTATCACTGTTTACAAGCTAAATTTTGTAGTTGTTAATGATTTTATCCACTGTGTTCTGATTGTTGCTGCCCAGAGTTGTTGAATACGAGATGGATATGAGATGGACAATAATAAATTTCATAGATAGACGGATGGACGGACCGACAGACAGATGTTAAACAAACCAGTGTTTCATTTTCTACAGGCAGCCAGTTGATACAGCAATGGGGTGATCATTTCTAGTTAGCCAGCATAAATTTTAGGACATCCTGATGGATTGAAAAAAATGGACATACCTTGCTGTTTTATAGAGAGCTCTGTCCAATTTAAATACACTGGAAAAAGGGGGGGGAACTGGACGGTGGTTTTTATTAACATACCACCTCGGGTAAAATCAGCATGGCTTTATTCTGAACCCAAGATGTATTATTCCCATGTTTAAATATTCCCTATTCTCTGAAATGTAGCATATTAAAAAAAGGCTAAACAGGGAATTAAAACCATAATAAGCATTCCTATCAAGGCAGTTCCACTCTGCTATTGGTGATAGAATTTCAGCACAACTGAAATAGCTCTCAATGGCAAAGGGAAATGTAGGAAGCAGGAAATTAAGGCAGGATATGACTAATAAAAATATCCCAAATGAGTAGCTTTATTAAAAGATTGTTTTTATTTAGTGGTGCAAACATTTTACAATATTGTGGATTAGAAAACTGTGATGGAGTTCTTGAGTTTACATAAGAGAGTTAGAATAAGAGACTCAGAATAATTTTGCCTTAATTTTTCGAGAGAAGTACTTTGATTTTCAAGACTATATTACATTACCCTACTAGCAACAAAGATTTTTTCCAAAAAATCCAAGTAGCTTTTGTTGGACTTGCTTGCTATATCTTTTCTCTGTTACCCAATTTACCTAATACATTATTTCTTCCTACAAGTGGTATTTAAATAAATGTTACACATGTTAAATTGGTACACTTTTTATTTGTGATCTACCCAAGATTACGTTTTTCATTCATACTGATCTTTACAAACATTGTCCTGAATGTTACCAGATTTTACCATGATTACCTTTTTAATTATTAAAACCTAAAATGCTGCAGAACATGTTAAAAACAGAAGGGATTAAGTGAGAGCTGTCTAAGAACCATGAAACAAACCTGACAGCATCTTCTAAGAGAAGCAGGTGGAGGTTGGAAAGGTTAAGGACTATAGTAATTTGGCAAACTGACATTCAGAGGGAAAACAGCTCTCATTTATTCAAATCCTATCAATGGAGTTTTATCATAGTAAGTTTAGCATTGTTCATGCAGTCCTCCTGAATCTTTACTAAAAGGATCAAATTGTAACTAGGCAACCTGTACCAAAGTCACTGTTAAGAAACCTCAAGTCCTAAAGGGGTAATAGTTTTAGACAATTTGTATTCATGTTTGCTAATTACTGTCAAGTAAAAGAACATGGCAACAGAAGAGAATAAAAATGTTCAGATCATCTTTTAACAAAGCCAAGTACATAATCTTCACTAGCAATATCCCTGGTAGATACCACTTCAGTTTTTTTTTTTTTAAAGAACATTTTTGGTAAAGTGATGGGCAATATTTTCACGACTGGATGCTCATTTAAATATTTCTGATTTTCTATTCTATTTATTTTCCTTATATTACCCATGCCTTTAAAAATGATTGGATTGAAGGGAGTATAAGGTAATAAAGCATTTATTCTAAAGTCCATTAATACTTTATTTAATTTGTGAAAGGAAAAGGTGGCAACAGCTGCAAGCAATGCTCAATATTACAATATGGATAGGTTAAAAAACCACTTCAGCTAAAAATGTCCTACTCTCTTATGATATTGAAAATCTTAAGTCAAGATATACAAAGTAGATACAGTGATGTAGAGTCAGCCCCAACAATCATTGCTAAGCCCATGAAATAGCTGCATGTCCTAGATTTTAGAATCACTATAGGTAGCGAGATAATAATAATAAATAATGAATGCCCTGTATCATGATTCTTAAAATGAAATCATCTGAGCATCCTAATTATATAATCATAGACACTAAGAATAAACTAATTAATAATTCGGGCTTGCTGAAGAGGAACAAGCCAGATTCCTGGATCTAGGCAACTATGAACAAGAAAGATTAGTCAAATCAGTAACCCCTTTCTAAATAAGGTAAAATTCTTTACAAATCTGGTATTTAATATACACCTGACTGATATATTAAAGTTAAATATTAAATCCTCTTCCTTTTTTCTACTGATTGTTACAAATTAAATATTCTAAAATAGTAATATTTTTAAATAACTAAGTAACTCAATTTCATCCACATGTTGGTATAGCCACACATGTAATAAATCAAGATGCTCCTGAACTTATACATTTTTGGGTTTGAATCTTCAAGTTGAAAGGTCAAATTAAAACAGTAAATATAGGTCAAGCTAATTACCTGATCTAAGTTTTTGAAGATGAGAATATCTTTACAGGCTTCCTGCAGTCTGCATCTCTGCTCATCTGTTTTTGGATGAACTACCTAAAAAAAGAAAAACCACAAAGTGGTTTAAACATCTAGACATCAACACATTTTGTTAGGTTAAACGTGTTTGGGGTTATAATTCTGAATATATTTAGGGAGAACATTTTGAAAATGTTTTAACTGTAGCAGGGAAGAGTTTTCAGTAAAGGTCTTCAGTAAAGAAGACCTCAGAAGTAAGAAAGGAAAGATCTAGCTCCAACTATTTTACTAATTAATAATACCCAATTGGAAAGCCTTCAGGAACAATTTTGAGAATCCTTTTGTATTCGTTCAAAAGTCATAATAAAGAACAAGAGCTGCCATTTCATTCATCACTTTAGTTTGAAACTTCACACAAGGAATAGGGTAAAATAAATTGCTCTTTGCATCAGCAAACAATATAGTGTGTTCAATCTTGCTTACCCTTGGCTCTGTATCTTCGTCCTCCTCATCTGGGTTGAAGGCTTCCGCACAGACTTGAAAAAGAAATATTTGTTATTCTTTTACAGGGCTGTCATGCAAAGAAAGGCAAGAACTCTGTATGGATATATTAATCAGTGCCATCTTTAAGTTCGCAAATAATATGAAAGATAGTGTAAAAGATTTAACACTTTAATGATTCAGACACTTGGTTAACTATTATTCAGGATTTATTCCAAGGTAATCAAAATAAAGGCAATACAGTGGTTCTCTGAGTTGTACCATTCTATATCACAATATGACACAACAGGCGTAGAGAACAGGATTGCTTGTGAGATTTATATTGCCTATTTGTGTGAAAGGGAAAAATAGCAAAAACCAATCTAACATATAAAAGTCAGGCACTAAGAAAATAATTTTCTTTTTTAACAAATAGGGATGTCAATATTTACACCAAGCAAATAAGCATTGCGTCAACAGTTTTCCCTGTGTGTTTTTTGGTCATGATTTAGGAAGAAAAATAGTTCAGTATACGGTAATCTTCAATTTACAACCACAACTGAGCCCAAAATTTCTGTTGCTAAGTGAGACATTTGTTAAGTGAGTTTTGCTCCAGTTTATGGCTCTTCTTGTTATAGTTGTTAAGTGAATCATTGCAATTGTTAAGCTAGTAAAATGGTTGTTAAGCAAATCTGGTTTCACCAACAACTTTGTCTGAAGGCTGCAAAAGGTCACGCTGCGGTAACCATCATAAATATGAAGCAGTTGTCAAGTATCCAAATCTTGATCATGTGACCGTAGGGATGCTGCAGCGGTCATACTTATGAAAAAAGGTTATAAATCATTTTTTCAGTGCCACTGTAATTTGAACAGTCACTAAATGAACTGTTGGAAGTTAAGAACTACCCATAGTCTATAATGGAGTCATTATGTTCAAAATTTCAGGAGCTTAACATATATATATTAACATATATTTAAAAAGGCAAAGAAGCTCTGGGCCAAGATTATGATGAAAGATTATCTGAACAAAATACAAGTTAATAATTATTTGCTTCAATGTGATCTGCGCTTGACACTTTCCCAAAGAAAAGCTGAGCAATATTTTACATTCATCAATAAATAACATGTTGGACTTTGGACAAGTGTATAAAATTTATATTTACAATTTACAATAATAAAGTGCAAAAAAAGGGGAAATACGTAGATCAGAAAATGTTAAACCATTCAATTTGCTTCCTCAATAGGAGCCTGCAAAGTTGATCAGCAAGCTCATCTGGAATTTTGAAAGCATAACATGAAATATTTGCTTTGGTGAGTGTCATTAATCACTGTTGGTTTTAAAGTGGTTTTGCTAGCCTTTAATAATGGTATGTATGACACTGACTTGACTCAACTCCTGATGAATTCATGAATACAAGCTATATAGCTTTCTTGATGATAATTCAGAAAGGTTTGCTAATGTATGCTTTCCAGGATGTATTTTTGTCAGTTTCCTAGTTTTATCTCTTAACCTGGGATCTCCTATTCAAGTCTCCTGACTACTTATGGTAGCTTTTTCAAGATCAGCTAGAATCTTAATACTGTTTTAATTGTTTTAATTGTATTAATATTCTAGGAAAGATACAAAACCTAGAGCATGAAAATACTTATTTATAATTGGGAAATGTGTTTAATCAAAACTGGGTTTGAGTTTGAATTTTCAGAAAAAAGTAGAACTCTCTACTGTATATTTGCCATATACAACCTAGGTGTAATGATGGCCTATGCAGCACTAGGAAAGCCTAATCCAATTCTACCTTCCATTTCCTTATGTAGATAATAGAATCTAGATATGTTCAAGCAGAATTAAACCCTATTGAATTCAGTGAAATGTATTCTCTTGTATATGATTTCAGTCTAATGAAACTTCTAATGAAGTCTAATAATGTTTAGATTTCAGCTTTCCCCAGTCTGATGAAGGCAGCAAAACATATCAAAAGCCATCAATGCAGTTATCTTTCACTCAGCATAAAATCACTCACAGATTTAAAAAACAAAAAACAAAAGCAGAGAGAAAATCTTAAAACCACCTTGTATACCTTTAAAGAAAAATGTGATTATAATTTTGTAAAACAGAAAAGACAAAATATAATTAGGAAACCATGTTAAAATATTAAGACAGTCAAATCATCCATTGTGGCTGATTATAAATAGGTTCTAGATCAAAATATTTATTACAGATTGATATGGCAGGCATCACCATTACGCAAAAGTGGAGAACTACATTTCGTGTAAGAGTAAAATCCAGCTTTTGATCTATTCTAGTAGGGCAGCTAATGTCTGGGTTTAGCCAAACCACAGCAAGGCCCTCCCCTACAAAAACGATCCAGTTCTCTTTGAGTGGACAGGTATACTCTGTTCTTCATGTTATCTATCATGGAAAAAATACTTCAGGTCAAACCGGGCGTTATCAATTCCTGCTTCATCCTGTGTTTGTAGTTATAATTTTGTTATACAGAATTCATTGTAGATTTTTCTTATGGAGAGATGATGTTCAGGAGAAAAAAAAACAAAATACACCCCAAAAATCCTTGATTGGGAAAAGTGTAACATGCCTCTAAATTGAATGGATCGTCCTAATGGGCCAAAGTTAGTTCCATTCCTGCCATGTAACAAGTTAGTAATAATTCATTTAATTTATTTTTGAAAATATGTAAAATTATTAACCATCACTTCAGATAAACAAAACATTTGGCAAAGTCTCCCATGAGATTTGGTAGAAAATATGGAAAAATGTAGCTTCAACTATAATATAAACAGATGGATACAGCTTTTGATCAATTATAACAGCAGTCCTCAATCTTTGCAGTTTGGTGACCCGGCGGGAGGGTGGGAGGGGAATTGGACCGTGCAAGCAGAGGGGCAGCACACATGTGTGTGTACCATGCACTTAACTGCAAATTGAGCTGTGTGCACAAACATGAGTGTGCAACGCCAGCATTCACGTGAGTCAAGCTGCGCATGCACATAGGTGGGCCATCCCGTCTCTTCACATGGTCTGATTCCGAATAAACCACAGCCCAGTACTTGAGGAATTACAGCTATATGAATGTTTGAGAATGAGTCCATGTCAAGATTGACCAGAAGGAAAAAGAGGTACTACACGGTTTGGATGTATTCAATTCTGGGCGCTACATTTTAGGGAGGACACTGAATACAGCATGTCCAAAGAAGAACAATCAAGATGATAAGCTTAGGGAAAAAATGAATGAGAAATAGTTGGAGGAACCAAATACTTTTAGCCTTGGAGAAGGGAAAACTGTAGGGAGACATGATAACTGTGTTCATGTAACTGAAGGGTTATTGTGTAGACCAAGAGTTTTACATATTTTTCAAGTTGCAGAACTTGTTAGTTTAAAACAAAAACAAACCTTGGAATATAAATTTCTATGCTGCCTATCTTCTTTCTGCACCTTACGTAATCTTTCAAGCTAAAATACAGTTTTCTGTTTATACAACAATATCTGATTCTGTTTCTCAGATTATCAAAATCTTTGTAAAGTTAGTATTTTTTGTCTATTGAATTCAGTGCAGTAGTTGATAAAATTAGAATATTAATGTGTTGTGTCAAAAAGCTCTTTTAACATTCACACATTTTTTTCTTCACTCTTGTTAAAGTGATGACACAAGCATAATTCTGATTATTTTTGAGACATGATGACATTTGGCACACAGTGCTGTACTAAATTTGCTTTAGTTACATGGATCTGATATTTTTAACCATTCTTTAAATAAATAAAGCAGAATTGTATATCATTTTCTCATGGGAGAGACAAATATCTATGTAAAGCATGTTCGGAAATGATCCTTCTGTGGAAAGATTTGGAATAATATAAAAAAACATGGTTACTTTCTGCTGCACTTTAATTGTACTGGAAACAGGGACGTTCCAAAGACCAGTTCTTACTTTCAGCTATGTTTTAACATTTTAAACTACAGAATATGTTAATTGTAAGCTCAACTATATAAGGAATAAATAAATAAGCAGTTTGGGGATTTGGTATAAAAATATTCTAAAGGAACAAGGGAAGAAGATAGCCTGTTCCTTGATTAAAAAAAGCATGTTTTTAAAGTTATTTTCCTCAATATACAAACATGAAGAGCATCTCACATTCCTTCCTTACCAAAAAAGACATTGCAGCCTGTCAGAAGTCTTTCCTGTCTATCCTTACTGAAAAGAAAATGGCAATTGTAAATGGTGCTGCTAGATGACAACTTGCTAAGGCAATATTTGAGGAGATGAGCCAACATTAACTAGGCTTAAACATGAAATTTACCTGTGCTCCATAATAATATTCACTTCGCTTGAGGTTTAGGACAACTCTCCATGGCCAACGGTCCAATCTTGCCACAGTCATCTCGCCACAGGACAGTTCACTACAGAATAATCTATGCAAGATAACTCTAAGCTGTAAAAGTTATCTGCTACTGTTTCTTCTAAATTATTTTCATCTTTGTCGATGGAAATAATGTCAAAGAAACAGTGGTGGATCATAATTATCACGTTGAGTAATCCTGCGTGGAATTATCCTGCAGCAAGTTGGCTGCAGCATTTTGGCCTCAGTGAGATGGCTGTGGCAAGTTGTCCCATTTCACTCTGGCTTGTGCTCGAAGCATACCTTTTCCCATTATGTCTTCTGGAGCTTCATTGCTAAAACAAGGTGATCAACTGTATGTGAGCAGGCTCACCTGCTTTAATCCTAGCCCAAAATTCAAAAGTGGGCACCTGGTCATCAGAGCTTTAAAAATCAGGCAAGCCAAATTTGAAGTCAAGGATGCCAAGAGATCCAAAACTCAGGAGAAGATTAAATTTTAAAAAATTAATAGCTTAATCTCTCATACTCTTAAGAATTTACTAAGAAAAAATATTTTCAATTTATTTCAAAAGTAGCTGCAAACTGTACTTAATCCTTTAAGCAATGACGGACAATTCCAACTCTATTTAGTGGGCCACAGACTCTCTTTCCAAAACTGTATTTCTGAAACTTGATGACAATCATTAATGATTTTTCAGTGA